GAACAAGGGAGACATTTAAGACTTTGGCAATAATTGTTAAAGCATGCAGGGACCAACTCAGCTTATATCCAGTGACTTGCAAACATCGCTTCACGTCTTATAATCGGATTACTTTTGAGTGTTGGGATGAGTTTCCAAAATTGAAAAAAAATAAAGAAATACCCAAGATCACAAGGCCCTGTCCTGCTGCAGATAAATCTGACAAAAGCCACAGCCTGGGGTCACATTGGGTTTTAATACCAAAGATTGAGGCACAGCAGTAACAGTAACATTGTTATAGCTTTACAACCAGATTCATAAAAAGAATTAAACTGTCTAAGACTTCACATTACGCACGGCCTTCAGACATTTCCAATCAAATCAGCATCCATCAACCATACATTTAAATAATAACATTATTATATAAAATACGTTATTATATTGTTCAGTCATTTGACAAAAAGTTCCTTTTCTATGCACATTCACTCGTAAACTTCAGAATGTCGTTATGATTGTGAAAATTAGAAAGTTGTTTATTAATCACTAATGATCATCTCTTCATCAACACATTAGAAACTCCTGAGTGCTCAACAAAGCTACAGGACTTCTCATTTGTTGTGTTTTATTCCTTTAAAGGGATATTATTCTTTAAATAAAAACATAGTCCAAAAGTAAATGGTTCTCCGACATCAAGGGAAAGCGGTGACATTTTATAAAATATACAGCATACGCTTAAACCAAAATGTTTTTAGATGTAGAATTTTAAAAATGTTTCTCATGAGCCAGTGTAATAGTTATGCTTCCTGCTGTGCTGCTGTCCTCTACAGTACTTAGTACACTCACTTTGATAAGTACTTCATACAACCCCTATTAAAAAAACACAAACTGAACCTTATCTACTGCAGATTTGTCACTTTTGTGCTAGAAACGCACCACTACACTTGCTGAGCCCTCCCATATTCTTTTTTTCAGGAGTCTCTTAGTTTTCTAAAATCAACCTATTTTCTGTATCTGTTGCTTTTTGTTCCTACTGCATTCCTATTTACAGTATTTCGGCCTTGACATGCCAAATATGTAACCACATCTTTCCTGCACAACTTTCATTCCCATTTTCTCTCCTTCTCTGTTGATGAAAAGAGTGTACCAAATATTTAATTCAGTCGCTGCAGCACTCTCTTCAGACGTTGATGACCCCTAGTTCCAAAAGAGCCACAAATCAGTCAGTTCAATGTCATTTGTTGTTAATGTCATTTGATTGCTTTTGTAGAGAACTGAAAGAATTTTAATTTCTCAAGTACAAAAAGATCTACTGTACGATCCATATATAACACAGCCCATATCTGATTATTTATTAAGCGGTAAAGAACTTTTGAACTCTGTAGTCACACTCCTTCCTCCGCTGTGCTATCAGGATATTGACATAAACATATTCCATCAGGTATTGATTTATAGGTCGCAGCCTTGTTTTTTGTTAATACTTCAAGAATTACATATCAAACAGCTTTTTAATGTTTTTTGACCCCTCAAGGATTAAAACAGGGCTCGTCCGGGATTTGAACCCGGGACCTCTCGCACCCTAAGCGAGAATCATACCCCTAGACCAACGAGCCATGTCTGAAAATCACAAAACAGACACTTATATTCCCGTCCCCTGAAGTTCTAGCTCTGAAGTTCAGCCCCTCAACTGGTGATGTGGCAGCTGTAAGACCACTGTCTGTTGCTGAACAGCGCCCTCTGCTGGGAAAACTTTAACATATCACGCAGTACTTGTGTGTCTCTCATCTTTACATAATACAGTAACATACATCAAAACAGAGCAAAAACATTGTGTGTAAAACCACAATAATATGTAATGTAAAAGGCTTAATTAGGTATTTGTGGAGTTGAAATGGTAAGAAACGAAGACACAAAAGCACGCAGTGAAACGATGAAACTGTCATGATCATGAATTGAAAAACCTAAATAACCAGTTTTGTTGTTCTCAATGCAAAATTAAAACAAAACTAATATTCCTAAGAGGAGTCTGGATCCAAAAAATGAGTAGGCATAGGTTTAAAGAAGCAAAAAAGATCCACACATCAAGGAGTCCTCAAGTCTGAGGAAGCGCATGTTGGCTCAAAACGTTACTTTTAAATAAATCCTTTAACTGAAGGTCCTTGGTGTGCGGATCTGATTTTCCATGCAAACATCATTTCCTGGATGAGAATAAAAACAGAGTAGGGCTCAAAACTTGGTTATGGGAGGGCATGTAAATAAAGTAATTTGCATTCATTTACAAGTGGGAAGGTTGAATTTGTTTATGTGAAAGCCAAGGACACTTTTCAGGAACAACAATGAGACCTATAGACTGTAGAGAAATCTTACAAAAACAAATCTCTGTAGCTAACTTGTGAATTTACTTTCTTAATTAGCTTACTTTTTTCATTTGGGTAAATCTAAAGAGTATATTGCAGATAACTGCCAGCCTTTTCATGTATAAATATAGTTTTTAAATGTGATGTGTTTGTAAATATTCATTCAGTTAAAAAAAATCCTTCTGGAACCCATTAGTTGATGAAAACGATGGTAAAATATTTATTTTCTCATCATCATTGAATGTAACCAAAATACATACTGTCCTGAGTTGGGGTTTGTGCGACTGATAACAGAAGTAATCTGCTATAAGGTGCAACCACATTTGACGGTCAGTATCAGCCATAGGATATGAAACCCCAAGTTTTATTTTTAAACCTAAAGCAATAACCAGAAGCTATGAGGAAGCTTTACTTATGTCTTGCTTATTTTCACTTTTATACATGTTTACTACTATAGCAATACTACTTTAGGCTGCAGGCTACTGTTTGAGGTTCACTGTAGTTCAGTTTGAATTTGATACGGTATGAATTTTATAGTTTTTAATTGTCATGCTCTGTTGCTTAGATATATTTATAAATTGCATGAAAATATGTAAAGCTAGGCAAATGACACTACTAGCAATGTATGTTGCAGAGTGATGGTACAACCACATTAATCATGTGTGTTCTGGTGACCTTTGACGGTCTAATTTATTAGTTCTCATTTATTTGGCCCATTTAATTCCAATGGAAGTCTTCACTGAAACACAAACGTTCAGCTTGTGTGAGCTTGTATGGATTTATAAGCAGGACTTGACTTGAACTACTGCCTGTTCCATGCTCCTACACAACTATGCAAAAATGTTTAGTCGGCAGCAATCATTCTCACAACAGTCATGAAATAAAAACAGTGACAGGTTTGAAGATACTGTAACACTATATGAAATTAAAAAAGGGCCCATTAACTAACTGAATATGCAAATTAAGGAATTAAATGAAGATTATAAATTAGCCCAAACCCAAATAAACAACAGCCAACTCTCCCACAGCAGGAAAGATGAGAGAGAGAGAGAGGATGGGGGGACAAAGGAGGAGGACATTACAGGGTGTGTGGGCGTGGTCAGTACAAGCCACACCCTTGGATGTTGCTGGATGATGATGGTTACGGTCATGATCATGTTTCTGTACAACATGTAATAGCCTAGCTGTTGGTATTTCGGTTTGAAGGCGTTGACTATGAGTAAACTCGCCAAACTGGTCTTTATTTATTTTCTTTCATCATATCTTACCGTGGTGGTATATTCTAGTGGCCTATAGATCATTAGCTAAATACCCTGTAAATATACATTTATTCTGTGTGATTGAATTTTGAATTGTGTCCATTTTCTTTGACTTAATTTAAACTTTTAAAATTTGGAGGCTTTGGCATTCACCAGATGTTACTCTTACTAGCCTACTGATTGTTTTTTTGTTTTGGATTTTGAAAATTTCAAAAAAATCAGAGAATCCAAAAAGACCAAGTACTTTGAGTTTTCTGTTGTATCTTTCATCACAAGAAGGACACTGATTTACACAATCTACTTTTTTGTGCTCATGATGATTTAATATTGGGTCTAACAATGAGTACGGTTTTTAATAAAGTGTCTTGTGATGACATTTGTTATGAATTGGCGCTATACAAATAAAGATTAAGAATTTAAAACAAAAAGGCAGAACCCCCCCTCCCGGACCCACCCAAAAAAAACTAATACACATATATACAGTAATATAAAAAGTCTAATGTAAAATTAAAGAAAGAAATATTTGAATATACAAAATATAGAATAATGTAAACAGTGTAGTCCACGGTGTCAAAGCGCAATGTGCAGATTGGATAAGAGAGACATAAGGGTTAAGCCATTTGTAGTACAAAAGCATTTACACGGGAGTGCCTGTCATTTCTCAAAAAGTAACAGTAAAAGTACTTCATAGTACCTGTGCATGTAGTCTAAAAGTACTTAGTCCAACCATATCAGAATCATTGTGTAGTGTACTTATGTAAGAAAATATATATAATTATTGTTTTCTCCAAGAAAACTTTTTTTTTTTTAAATTGTGAACACCTTATTTTGAAAAACGGAAGTTACCACAGACTCTCAGAAATTTCCACACTAACTTCCCGACCTCCGAAGCTATTCCCTGCACAGTATTCTGTTTACTCCTGTTTCATACACTTGTATCTCATAGTCAGTTTTATGGTAAGACCTAGACATTTAGCACTTGACGTCATCGCTCTCTCTGCTTGTTCCTCCTGCTCGCTCTGGAGTCCGGAGCATTTACCATAAAGATCAGAATACGTGAGCACTTCAAATGTAGGGGCGGCTCACTTCACCATGTAAACTCGAGGAGCGGCTGGCTTCACCGCAGTTTTGTTTTGATGTGCCCACTCCAAACCTGCACGCATACAGATGTTATTAGATATTATTAAGTTACAGGTGGCATATAGTGATGCATTAATAATGTTTCTGAAATGACCAACATGGACGAGTGAAAGTCAAACGTTTGTTAGTAATATCTCCACATTACAGGCTGTATTGAGAAATTGTATGTATAAAACTACGTGTCGAATAATTGGTTCAAAACGATATTTTTATCCCTTTTGTTGATGTTTTATAATATGTTGATATTTATTTAGCTTTTTACGTAGATATGGACCTATGGGTTTAAAGTAAAGTAATGGCAAACTAGGAGTTTAGTGGGCCCCAACTGGTTGTCATTGAATGTATTTTCCTTGTACTGAATGTACAATTCCTTACATAAACACAACATACAGAGGGGTATCGTCACGTGTAGGGATGTTAAATAGATAAAACTGTCCCACCAGCTATTACTGTCATTTATAAGAAAACTTCAGTCATGACTCAGTAGAGTTATTTCTAAAGCTGTGCGTATGCTGCATATCATTTATCTGGCTTCAGATTAGAATACTAGGTTTATAAAGTGTTGACAATGTTCAACAAGTCATACATTTGTGAAGCTTTGATAATCCCTCACAGTTGAGGGAACACTCCTTTAAGTTCCTAAAGAATTTTAATAACATGTGTCTGCCAAGTTTGATCCATCCTGGAAGACTTCAGTTTCCTTTGGATCTGTTTGCTGTAGAGATGACAGAGAAAAGATGAGCAGAGGACGATCTATGCTTCATTGAGATTTAGTTGGGTCCTTTTATGCATTTGCACAACTGATGTTGAGGTAACACCAGACAGCAGACTTCACAGTATCCTGGAGCAAGTGACAAGCCAAAGTAAAGTTAATAATTACTTATCCAGTCTATCTTCTCTTGGACAAATTAGCTATGTGCTTCTGACAAGGCTCAGTCAGGTTTTTCCACGTGTACACCTGAAGTGCAGTACATATCAGAATGCAATATTACATAACTTAGACACTGAAAGAAAACACTTGTACAAAAGTATTCAAAACCGGGATTACAAACAGCTACAGCAGAAACACATTTACAATTATACACTCATACAACTTGAAAAATGGCCTTCAAAGTGTTTAGTTCACCCATCCAATATATTTGATTAATATGTTTTTTTTAATGCTTTGACATGCACCAATAGAAAACACAAAAACATGCAGCATAAACAAAGTTTGAGAAGAAATGTCAGGATCTAAGATTGTTGGGTATTGGTCTATCCTAATACACAATGTAAATATATTGTGTGACACTACTATCACTTCTTTAAAATCTCTGTTGTGTCAACTTCTGAAAGCCAGCCATTTTATGCAAACTTAATAAATAGCCTTTTTTTTCCTTTCAATCTCAGATTGTGTCTTAATTTCCACTTCTGCTCTCCTCTCGGCTGTTTTTGTTAAATGTCATTTGTGAAAACCTAACCAGAAGTGAAGCATCATTGCAGATTTACTTGTTGTTCACTAGAGATATGTTAACATACAAATTGAAACATACTCGTTCCTGCAGGCTGTGACTGACCAGAGACTGATCTATGGTGGTAAACTGCTGCCCGACTATCTACACATCAAAGATCTCTTCAGACAGGTATGTGTTGCTAACAAACAGTACTAAAACATTCTGTCTAAAGTAATATGTCATGATATTAAAGTCTGACAGCCACAAACACTTGAATGGAGTTAACAAGTTAATTACAGACCTGTATGCTGCGGACGACAAACTAGCAGGAGAGGTTTTATCTACCCTACTTTTCAACTAACAACCATTGTCTGATGTGTAAAAGGATTTCTATGGCCTTTGAATATGAAATAATGCTTTCTAACAAACAGTATATTATATTTCATGTGTCTTGTTTCAGTTTCTTTTTGTGTGAATATGCCCAAGGCTCATCTTGCTTTAGAAAAAACAACGCACCGATAAACAACCTGAAAAAGGAAGTCAACTTTATAACCTAAATACATTTTGTTCTTTTTAGAAGGCTATGGCTCATAGTGTAAACCAATAAAGATTCTTTTTTTTTTTTTAAATTTCTCTTCCATCTTGAGACTGTATAGATGAGACCACGAAGAATCCAGAACCAAGCGGTTCAATTTGATTTTGTTCAGGGTTGTGGGAAATAACAACAAGCTCATTTGTGTAGTGTGCAAGCATTTGAATGTCGGCCTGACATGGTATTAGTCATGAAAATGTCAGGAACATGATCTCTCTTCTCCTCACCGCCCTGCTCTGTTGTCAATGTCAGGCTGGTGGTCATGTGACGTGAAATAACTACAAGAAGTCCTGGTTTTGCTGGTTTTGACATTTTTAGACTCCTTGTTAAAGTTTTTGTGGAATTTGAGCGAGAGGGCAGGCCTATCTTCTTCCACATTTTTAGACTCTTTCATGCTCATGCAAAGACATTTACTAGGTTTAATATTTCAGCTGTACTCTGTGAGTGTATCTGTGTTTGTACTCTTTTGTAATCAAGTATTTATCTTCACTTTCTTAGACTGATACGAGTCCCACAATCCATCTGGTGTGTCCTATCCAGAATCTACAACAAAGACCACTAGGAGCAAGACCAAAGGTAAGAAGTGATGATGTGGACTTACTTTCCTCAGAGCTTATGTTTTTACATGCAGCATTGTTATTTTTCAAGAGGAAATCTCATGTCAGAGAGAGATGCAAACTCCTGAAACATTTTACAACAGGACCTGAATTTGAGCACTTTTATCCCTTATGGACACTTTAGAAATATTATTTTTAACCGCCCAATAGCTGACTGTAACTGTTTTATTTGATTTTAATGACTGTAGTAAATTCAAGATTTTAAATGATTTTAGTGTTTTATTGTTCTTATTGATTTTATTTTCTGTAGTAGCTTTATCTCATTTCTCGTTGTTTATCATTTATGTATGTTTTCTCAGCATCGTTGTAAATGAGGGTCTCCCTCAATGATCTCTCTGAGAACTTAAATAAAGGTTGATGATGATGAATTCATATCAAGTATTATCTCAAGACGCTTTACAAAAGAGCATATGGGATAATATGCAGGAAGGATTTCTCCTTTGTATTCCTCTCGTTCCTGTTGTTCATACTGCCTTGTCTCTGAGGTGGAGGTCAGAGCAGGCCGCGCTTGAATGAGGACGGCGGTGGTTGTGGGGACAACACAGTCTGATGCTGGTGGCTGTGTGTCAGGTGGTGGTGGTGGTGATAGGCAGACATTTAGTGGTGTGCCCTTTAGCATGACACTTAAGCAGGAATCAAACCAACATGCCCCTTGGTCAGGAAATGATATCACTTACCAACAGACCAAAGGCACTGACCTAAACTAAGGTTGTTTTGATGTTTAAATCTGATTTTGAACTGAGAAGTTCTTGTAGGTTATGTAGCTCTGAGGTTATTCTAAAAGGCTGCTCTCACTCTGAAGAGATGTGACATTATAAGAGGACATTTTTTGTCCACAGTCAACTATGATGTAAAATATATAAAATAGTAAGAATAATTGGATATTCATTTTTAGACCATTTTAAAGTGATCTGACATTTTTTTTTCTCTTGAACTAATTCTAAAATTGATAATCAAATGCCCAAAACTTAAATGTACAATATGCTGAATTTGATTACAATGTTAACATTCCAATATCTAAGTTGATTAAAATGTATAAACCTGTGTTATATATATTTGCACTTACATTACCTCAAATATTTCCAGCAGTTATCAAAGCCATAGGAGTCCATCATTTTATATATATTTCTGATAATGTTTCATAGATGCTTACAGTTTGGTGTATCTAACAACATGCATCATCTTTAGGAGTTTTAATGGCGCTCCAGTCTCCTGTGACACATCAGTCGCAGCAGGTTCAGAGACTGACAGGTGCATCTCTTCACCTCCTTCCTCATTTTCATAACAGCACAGAGTGAAACGGTTTCACTGTCGCTGTCACGCTTCAGAGCTCAGCTTCAGTTCTGAGATCTAAAGTATAGCTAAAGATAACTCACTGAAGTCAGATACTGCAAAGGTGGTTGTTCATGTAAGACAATAAGACCCATATCTACTGATTGTTCATAACGACTACAGTGGTTGTGCTGTAGTTCAGACATTGCTAAGAATTAAAAAAAAATTCAAACTTTTTATTATGCAGACCAAAGCGACACAACTGCCACAACCCTCCAGCCCAAGGCCCGCGGCAGCCTCTGCTTCACCCAGTCCCAGCAGCCTGTCCTCCACAGACCAGACTCCCAGCACACCAGAACTGAGACAGAGGAGGCAGACAAGTCCATCTTCACCTGCTGCTCCAGCCCACACACATGCCCCAGTGTCTCCACCAGAAACGCCTACATGGCCTGCTGCTGCAATGTAAGCCAGAATAGATTGCTGTGCTCTTGTTTATTAACATTTGCAGACCTCTGATTTTCACAATTTAAAAAAAAAACTTTTATCAGGCGAATGTGACCATTTGAAGGGACACTTGACCCTTTAAAGCCCCTCTGGTGCATTCACTGCAACCCTCATTTTATAGGGAGACTTCACCTACAGGATCTGTTTGTGAGAAGCAAATGTCCATATCAGGTTTACTGGACATTAAACTACCTTTGCCCTGCCAGCTCTCAAGTAGAAAGTCCATATGAAGTCCAGATGAGTGTAAACAGAGCACGTCTAGAGACTCAAATTGTCTACATCAAGATGTTCAGCTCCTTCTATATGATAAAATTACAATTCTCACACTTCAGTTTAAAATATTTCATTCTCAAACCTTTACACTTGTTGCTGGTGTTTGTTTGTGCAGCCAGAACAAATTCTGATTCTTTTGTTTCTTTGAATTTTTTTAAATGTGTATGCATTTGTGTTTATTTTTGTTTCTTCAGTAACCAATGCATTGCCGAGTTTATTACAGTTTTGTGTAGCCTTACACATAATACCAACAAGAAGAGAGCTAATAATTATGATTAAAAAATGATCAGACTTGGATCTGAGCTGAAATGAAAGTGTATCAGTGCATCTCTGCCTGATTGTGTGGACATTGAAAGGAAACTTTTTACTGACACTTAATGACATCAGTATGAAAACTCAAAAGTTGTCTTAATTTCTTGCATTTCATATTTGATTTATTTGCTCATTTCGGTGTTTGGTTCCCACAAAATATAACATAACACGAAATATTTTTTCTTGATAAAACTGTCTATAAGATCAATGACATCAAACTTTGAAGCGGCCTATATTACATAGAACTTAAAGACGCATATTCATATGTTATGATCTGTTATTAAGGCTACTTTATTCAAACCCTTGATCTGTAAGTTGCTGCATTACTTGCTCCTAAGGGAAGTGAAAGAGGGCGTGTCATACCTATTGAAACACTTACATGATTTGCGCATATGAAGATAAGTGATGTCAAAACATCACATACACTTACCCTTCCATTTTTAACAGATGCTAACAGTCTTTCATCTTTCCCTGCAGGGCCAGATCAACTCAGATCACCCAACCAGCCTTTCCCACCTACTCCCTGTACAGCCCTCAACAACTTCTGTGGCTGCAGCATGTCTATGCTAGACAGTATTACATGCAATAGTGAGTTATATTATTTTATCAAATATATTTATTCTGCTTTTCTTAAACCGTTAGAACCTCATGGAGGGCTGACAGCTTCACACAGCTGGTGTCTAATAGTTGTCATGTTTGTCTCGTGTAACAGTCAGGCAGCGTTGGCCGCTGCAGGGACCGTCCCTTCTGCACCAGCTCCAACAATCGGCCAGTACCCTCCTGTTCACGCCCAACATGTGCCAGTAGCAGCCCCCTTAGCCAATCAAAACCCAATCGACAACCTGCAAGCCAATCAGAACCCAGCGCAAGATGCAGCTTTCATCAACCCTGGTGAGGCCAACCAGAACATGCGGATGAATGCCCAGGGGGGGCCTGTCATGGAGGACGAGGAGGATATGGAGCGTGATTGGCTGGACTGGTTGTACACCGCTGCGAGATTAGGTGTTCTGCTCATGATCGTGTACTTCAACTCCAACCTGAGTCGCTTTCTGCTGGTGATGAGCACCCTCTTCCTCATGTACCTGTAAGTCAAAATCTGAGCACTATGAACCTTTATGTTTTCAAATTGACTTAAGATGTTTTTCTGAATATAATTTCAAGATTAACATGTCATATGTGTACCTTACTGATAATATAATAATAATACTCTCTTTGCAGAGCACTTTTCAAGACAGAAGTCATTTTATAGAAGTCATTTAAAAAAGAGGATCACACTTACAGATACATGAAGCAAAGATTCAGACATACAGTTAAAACAAATGAAAGTAAATACAATAAAACAGGAGAGTTCAAATCTGTATGACGGAGCTTTGATTAAATGATGTCAGCTAAAAGACAAGTCTGAAAAAAATGTTTTTAAGGTTGACTTTAAAGGCTTTACATGCGATTTTTTGATCCAGCAGATGTCACCCTTCAGCACCAGCATGAAACCAATTCAATCAGGAGAGACTTAATTGAGAATGAACAATTATTTATTTACAATAAATGTGCAACAATTTAATTTTGAATGTGCAAAGTCTTTGGGGGATTAGACTCCATCGTGACGACTTCCCACTCGGAAGGTAATGAAGCTGACAGCAGGATAGGAGACCCCCCTATGGGTCTTGACACTGGTGGTGGTGAAGAGGAATGGAGGCTATGATGAGCCTGAATCTGGACTCTGCTGAGCTGGAATGGAGGTGACTGGGGCGGTGGTGGGTTGCAGCGGTTCCCCTGAAATGACAGAATGACTGTGGAAGAGAGAGAACTGTTTTAGCATTTTGCCGCAGCAGGATGATTGGTTGAGAGAGGTTGTGCCCGAATCTGGTTGGTTAATTACTTAAAGAATAAACGCCCATTATCAGCTGATCACCAGAGAAGGGAGACAGAGGAAGTAGTAGGGGGAGTGGTTTAGGTTGAAGTGAAAGGATGAATGAATGAGTGGAAGAATATAACCAGTCTTCCTGTCTGAACTTGCGCTGAGCTCCATAACAACTCGCGCTGCATTGTTGTGTTAGCATGCTAATGCTAGCGATCTTTATCATGCTCGTATCTTCACACTGCATGTAAATTTACCTGAAATGAGCGTGATCTAGAAACACAGTTAAGCAGTGAGTACAGTATGTTATTCTTCTTTCCTCTAGTCCCTCAATTAAACAACTTTTATACTCGAGGGGAGGAGTCAGCCGGCTGTCCTGACGATGTAAACAAAGTGAAGATAGGACTCTGAAAACATCACAGACAGTGGGACTCGGGTGTTACACCCATTGTAGACAGTCATGACTCGCAGAGTTATTTTCAGAGGATATACTTGATTTCTACATTTAAGTGTGAAAAATCACATATAAAGCCTTTAAAAGCAGAAACAGAGTCAGCTGAATCAATGGAAAGTGGAAAACAGAATGATTATGATTTAGAAAATGCCAAGAACAAGAGCCTAGTGTACGTGCATCATCCATTCCTGTGTCACTGGATAAACAAGCAGCTGATGACAGTGTTTGCCTGCAGCCCAGCCTTCAGGATCTGTACCCTTGAAAACCTGTTATACCAAAGCTATAATAACAAACAAGTGAAAACAGCTGAGCCAGTGTACTGCGTGTACCTTAAGGAATTAAACCCAATGACTGTGGCTCACTGGTAAAGATATCAGACGGGATTTTTATACATTTGATCAGCTGGTGTGGATGAGAAATAAGAAAAGACCAAAACAATATAACTTGCTGACAGCGACATGCTTTAGCCAACTAGTAGAGTAAACTAAACATTGGACTTTTTGAATTTCAGATGAAATTAAAGGGATCATGATGGATACTATTAGTCAGTTAACCAAAAAGTCATTTGAAAAATAATATCCTGGGGTGTCAGTAGCCTAGCGGTTAGTGCACGTGCCCCGTGTACGGAGGCTATGGTGCTCGAGAGCAGGTTGCCCGGCTTCCAATCCGACCTGTGGATCCTTTCCCACATGTCGCTCCCCACTCTCTCTCCCTGGTTTCTGGTGCTATCCATATCTCTGAATGAATCCATAAAACCCCCAAAACAAATCTTTAAAACATATAAATATGCTACAGATCATTTCATGGTAGTTAAGATGTGCCTTTATTGTAGAGCAAGACAGTGGATAGATTTGGAATTCAGGGAGAGAGAGAGAGTGGGCAAAGACATGCGGGAAAGGAGCCACAGGTGGGATTATTATCCATACATGAGGCGTGCCACTAGGCTACCTGCGCCTCTCATGATCATTGTAAATTCCCCCGTTGTGGGATGAATAAAGGATTATCCTATTTTATGATAGTTTTGATTGATATATGATTATTACATATATTTTATTATATATTTAGTTTGATTTTTGTTACATTTTCTGGTTTGATTTCGTAGCTCTTGTCAGACTAATCCTTCCAGTTTGATGGGTTTCAAATATAAGTTAGCCCAGTCATATTTTTAATTCTAACAAGAGAGTTGGAGTGTTTCCTGTCAGGAGTAGGGCAAGTTGTGTGTAAGGAATAATCCACATGGAAAATGCTCCTATTTCCCCCTTTTTATGTAGAATCTATGATGCGTAGAAACAACAACAAACAGACACTCTTTTAGGGTTTGTGGCTAAAAAGACTAAAGATAATGAAACTAAGTAGGCAATGGTTCCTCATACTTTGAAAGTTTGGCAAACAAAGGGCAGACTTGTCTGAAGTGATTCTCCAGTGAATAATTATTACTGCAGAGGGAACAGCTTATATTAGATAAATAAGTATTGTTTATCTTTTTAAAAAGGTGCCATTTTGAAATCTCTTTCTGTTTGTACCACACCAGACTATCTCAGCTGTTAATAAGCAAATAAAAACTGTGCGATCTCATTCAGGTCTAGAGGGTCTCAGTATGGAAGGGGATCACTTATAACATCTGTGTAGAAAAGCTGAGAAACAGAGATGGAACAGTGGTACTAAAAACATTTTTAAAAGGACTTTCCACTGAAGCAGGCTGTGGTTACTCACTTCCTTACACTCGTTTTGATTCAAATGACTGATGTAAACACTTTTTTTTTAAAGTCACTGTCTCTTTAATTACCTCATAAAGCAAACAAAGTTGTATAATCTCTCATATTTTTTCAACTATTTTACTCGTTGTTTGTGTATTGTGATAACTCTGGCTTATCTTTGTTTCTTCATGCTATGTGAGTAAACATAAAACTATAACACAAGCCTTTCTTGAGAAGTCACAGTCGAGTTTCACATGTGGGGGGGTGTTATTTGTTCAAGCTCTATCTGGCGGCCTCCACATGGTTCCACATCAACACTCTTATCATCGGCTAAGGCCACGTTGTTCATTTACTTAACATGTCACACTCTCACCCTCATACACTTCAGTCTTTTTATTTGTATTTCAGTCTAACTGAACTTTAACATGAATTCTTAACAATACAACTTGTTCAAAATGAACTGTGCAGCCCCTTCAGCAGTTAAAAAAGCATATCTAAAATATCATATCAAAAATATCGATACTTGGCCTCCATGAGACAATATAATATCACCACACAAAATATCTTGATACTATGCTGTATCAATTTTTTACCTCACCTCTACTGTGCACTGATTGGACAGGTGGTCTTATTGTCAAAAGTGTTCCTAATATTTTACTCTTCACATGTATGTTAACAGGGTGGGAAACATATTAGAATCATTTTAACATATGATGCACTCCATACGGAAAACAAACCAAAGGGACAGAATATTGGACTTAAATCCATCCGTGAACACACCTTAAACTCAACAAAATGTAATTTCTCCTTGTCTGCTCCATATGTAAATAAGAAAATGTTGTTATGACTTTTACGTGATCATTCCATTTTTTTACACGTGATCTGCTAGTCAATGAATTTATGTGAATACTGTTTTTTTTATAAATGGTTCTGTCTCTTTTCTTCTTTCCAAGACACACCGCTGGCTGGTTTCCCTTCAGAAGGCAAGGACAGGTCCAACAACCAAACCCCCCCACAGCCCCCTGAGGTCCAGCACAATCAGCAGAATGAGAACAGGAACCAGAACCTAAACCCAGTAAGAAAGAAATCCCTCATATTTTAGCATGGATTTGATTGAAGTTTTGGAGTATCTGTCTTTGTATGTTAGGCTTTAGGGCTTTTTCTTTGTTGAATTTACAGTCTGGGTTTGGGTAAGCCTGCATGCAGACATGGATGGCCCTTTTTATGAAGCAGAACTATTACTTGACACTTTTACTTTATGAAATGCTCCAAACCCCTGGCCATAAATGATCTGTTTGATAACGATTCTTCTTCTTTTTTGACTTCCTCTCTGAACAGGATGACGAGCTTGCTGACAGACAACATGAGGAACCAGCTCCTGCAGCAGACGGACAAGAACCGATGACAGCAGTTTTAGTGCCTCCTCACAGGGTGTCAATCATGTGGACCACCTGGGTTTTCTTCAAAACGTTCTTCTCCTCTCTCCTACCTGAGGTTCCCCAGCGCATGGCCAACTGAGCATCGAAGCAGACTTTACAAAAAAAGAAGTAATTCAGGGGAAGAAATCTCTCTGGATTAGATGCTTGAAAAGCTGATTGATGCAGGATGTCAGAGGCCATAAACTCAAGAATAAAGAATAAGAAGAACATCGGATTGATACTCCTCAACAAAGAACTTCAAGTTTGAACAGACTTCTGGACCGTGTGGTATTGATTGTGATCAAACACAATGAAAGCACCAGCACAATAAAGCTGGGCCACAACACACCATTACATTTGAAAAAATATGGACTGAAAACAAAGTAAAACAAAAACCCTCAAAATATCAAACAGCACTTTTTACAATAAGGAACTGTTCTTTTGGATCCCTGCTCTGTGATCATACGTCTTAAGTAAAGCTACTGAATGGTTTTCCTTGATCATAAAATAACAATAGATGGCAGCAGAGGACTAAACATGTACCCTCCATGCTGCCACTGTAACGGCTGTGCCTGGATCTTTCTTCCTGTGAATCAGCCCATCAAAGTATTTGAAGAGAATCTGATCCAGCTCAGTTCTCTCACACTTGTAAGGATTATATTCATCATGTTCAGTTGAAGTGTAAATCTTCACACAGACCTGATCCAGTTCTGTATCATCTTTCGACTATCTGAATCAAAAGAATTACCAGGTAGAGATCTTTTTCTCTTTTTCATTACAAATGCCTCTTCATTTTATTCATATTTGTTTTTACAGACTTTGCTTCAGTCTAAGGAAGCCTAGAAGGCCCAAGCAGATTGATTTTGACAGCGACTGTTTTGATCTAATGTTTTGGGTTTATTGTCCTTTACCCTCCTTTTTAAATATCAGCTAGGTTATTTGAAGACTTCACAAAATTACCATCACATTACCAAAATCACTTTAGTCAAAACTATATTCAAGTTTTTTTTTTTCTATTTCAGTCATTCAAGTGAAGTTTGAAATTAAGTTGCTCACATTTCTTGTACATCTATTATTATCTCCGACACAGTCTCTACATTGAGTTAATTATGTCAATGTGAGCAGAGGTTGACTGTGACTACAACTTCAGTTTCCAAATAAATCTGGAAAAGTCAAACTTACAAAATACTTAAATGGCTAAATTGAAAGTTACATTCAGTTCTTTGCCAGTTCTAATCGAGCATCATGTGGTGTTGTTACAAAATACTAACACAGTGCCAACTTGTTGTTTGCATCACAAAGCACTTTAGCTTGTATATAAATAAGGTTAGGGGTTTATGATTCTCCCTCATGATTGGTTCCTAATGTAAACAAAATAATGGCATGAGGGCTCAGAGCTGTGAGTGGTGTTTTAGGGGGTTTGTTTGGTAGACGAGTCTTTAGGTTTAAAAGTCAATTTAACACTTAAGAATTAAATCTGTTTGGTTTATTTCTAATGTCAGATAGCATCTTTGAAAGGACAAAAAGAATCAGCACAAGTTCACATATCCGCTGGCTTGTAGTCTTCTCTTTGCACCAAGGGATCACATTTTGATAATATTTTGTAACAGGGCTTCACTTCATTAATTTAACATTCCAAATGAATTCTGCGTAATGAAGCTACCTCACATCATCGCAGCTGTAGCTATCATTTAAAGCATTTAAACATGATGCATTATAACCGTCACTTTTTGCTTCATTGTTGTCGACTCGATTTCCTAAACATAAGGACGTTCTGCTGCTGCTTGGGTCAATGGACTTGTTCCAATCACATCATGTTTTATTGATTTACTAGAGAGGGGAGAAGTCCCTGTCCTCGTGTTCTGCATCAGTCCTGTTCTGACTTGGCTCACTGGCTCCCCTCGAGGAACAGAAGTCTGACAATGGTCACCTTGTATATTAAAAACTGTAACGATAGGCTCATCTCACTAAGGGAGATTAGCTTATTGTGGGATGTTGTATAATAAAGTGTGTTGAAGGAGACATGCAATAAATGTTCTTTACTTTTACAGTTCCTTAGTGTTTGTTGTGTTTTTTGTTCTGGTTTTTACCTTTTTTTTCTTTTTTTCTAAACGGATGTCAATACAAAGTGCCACAAGTTTGTTCATCCCGGTTTTAAATGCTTGAACTGGCTGAGAGTCAATCAACAAGGGGTTCACATAGAGTCCTGTAGCATGATAATAACATGACCTTGACTACACTCTAAATTTAAACCAGCACCAATACAAATTCAAGTGGAAACTGCTCCAGATAAATGCTTACTGTATGCAAGTGTATGAGGCTCTTACTGAAAATGAATACTTATCTTATTGGGACTAAATATAGCATTTCTTCTTATCTGGATATGCTGCAAGTGAAAAGTATATTAAATAACAAAGTCGATTCAAATGTTATGTATCATAACAAAAAAAGAAAATGTCTTTGGTAAAAGCTTTAGAGTAACATTAAACTGTTTTAAAAACATAGTACTGATACCTTTAAAGGAATAGGTTGTCATTTCGAGGAAATTAAAAGACTGGTTAACATTTTGTTCTTTCAAATTCTCAACATTTTCAAGCCCTTAAAAACCCTGTATGAGGCTCCTTGTTATCACTGGTTATCAGGGCCTAAAACAGTTCCTAGAAATGATCTTTTTTGTAAATATTAAGGTTCTACCAGAGAGCTAGTTGAGGTCACACATGTCGACAGCTGAAGGTGATCGGCTGCACTACAAATTTGGGATTCCAAATGAGCCCACCTGCTGTGACACAAGATCCTGTATAGTTTGGAAGAGGGCAAGGCAGGAGTAGGGTCAAACCCCGGGAGAAGTTCAGGGCTGTCAGTGACCCTGTGTGGTTGCATCTGTCCACTGGATTGAGTGCCAGCATGAGTGGAAGCAGAGGTGAATGGACTTGAACTTGTCTAGCGCTCTTCTAGTCTTTTATACCACAGGTTTTTACATCGCAGGTCACACCTACACATTCACACACTGATGGCAGAGGTTTCTATGTAGTGAGACCATCAGAAGTAACTAATCACATTTGTACACATTCATGCGCCACCGACGAGGCAGCAGGAGCAACTTTGTGTTAAGTGTCTTGCCCAAGGACACATCTGACCTGTAGCTGTAGGAGCTGTTGATCAAACCCCTGACCTTCCGGTTAAGAGACAACCGACTCTACCAACTGAGCCACAGCCGCCCCAAAGAGGGAAGGCATACAGGAGGTGTTCTGGCAAAGAGTGTGCCAGTGCATCTTGCCCCAATAAGGAGACAGGACAGTGTATCAGTGTTTCTTAAACAAGTCGATTTTCCCTACATTGTGACTCTCACAGATCCTGAGGTAGCTTCTGTGTGAAAAGTTTGGTCACACTGCCCTTCACACCGGACAGATAAGTTACCTTGAGATCATCCAGGTGAGATGATTCCTATTGCCTCTGAGCCTCCGGAGCACACTGAATGATGATTTTTGCCCCCATGGCTTGATCGAGGCATGAAGTCCAGATATTTAAGAGTGGTGGATAGAGCTAGAACAAGGTGGGAAATTGAGTTTCAAATACATCTCATTCTTCAAGAGAATCTAGTGTAAGAGCCAAATGTTCAGCATTAATCCCTCTCTTCTTATTGCTAGAGGCTTTGTCTTGTGTGTGCCTGTAGAGCTTAGAACCTGGTGAGATACTGCATGCAGGCAATCCTGAAGAAAGCCAGCCTCAATAATACTGCTGCAAGAAAACTCAAACTTTTTTCATTTCCAAGGCACCGAGGACATCTGCCATGGTCATTGTCTGGGCAGAGAGTGACCATGCAGGACTTACAAACAGCATATTGTATTTAAGGAGTAGAAAACACAGTGGGAAGTTAAATTGAACCAGCACTTACTGTACGCAATCTTTTAAAGGTGTTCTGTGTACTCTGGATGACAAGCAGAGAAGGTGGTCAAAAGAAAGGAACCACTGTGTTGTGGGTTTAGTCAAGATAGTGCAGATGCTCCAAAAGGTCGGCCGTGAGAGCTGAAGTAATGAAAGTAGTGACTGTCACTTCATTCCAAACACCTTTGGCCTCGTCAATCTTTTGTGGTATCGCTCCTGTTCCTGCCTTCTTTGTGAGCTTCATTCTCTTTGAGACCATTTTGTCATGTGGTTTTTTGTCTTCCTCACATTCTTCTCGTGAGGACATGAGTACAGTGATCAAGACACATTCAATTCTTACAAAGCCCTGAACTTATACAACAGTGGGCATGTCCTGCAAACAGAATCACATAGCAGAAATCAAAACTTGTACATTCAAGACAAACATGCTGCTATCACAGAAACAATGAAAAAGACACAAATGACACACACACACACACACACACACACACACACACACACACACACACACACACACACACACACACACACACACACACACACACACACACCCAGGAAACAATTACACAAAAAGGTACTCCTGTGATTCCAGGAGGGATTTTAAGGTTTTAAGAAAGTAGGAGACACAACTGGACTTGAACCTGTGAGCAACCAGAACAGCTAGGAGGATTTCAAGGGAAGTCCTCCTGAAATACTCTAGAAATGTTCACAAGTGCATTATGTTAAAATGGGAGGAGTGAGAACCCTGGTAAGAGGAAGAGTATATCTCCTGGGTAAGTTTAGGTTAGTCCCTGTTGTCAAACTACCAGCCAAACCCCCAACCCCCAGTCCCTATCTCACAACTTATTGGTAAATGGTAAAGAGACTTGGAAACATTCACACACTGATGGCAGTGGCTAAAGTTCCCAACTGTCTAACAGTACTACTCCAAGTACTGTTACTGTGTTTTGTTTGGATAGATATTTTTACCATGAACTGTTAATTTGATACATGCCCTAGACTCACCGATCTACTTAGGAATAAATGTTGGGTTACCACGTTCACAATTTCCTGTATATTTTGTTTGAACAGATATTTAGAAATGTGTTTGCTGGTGTTGGGTGTTACAGTCTGTATCTACATATTCATGCACTTGCTGATCTGCAGTAACCTACCAGCAGGTTGTATAACCACGTTATAATTCCACCACTAGATGGCGCCCACGCACCACAGAGACTCTTGTTTGGTCATTCAGCTAGATCAGTATCCAACCTTTACTCTGTCCTTCTGAAGTCCACCCAAACCAAACATATTCAACAGCAAGGTTTGGCGGGGGACAAACACACACACATTACATTCTGAGGGAATCACCACTAGGGAATGCACGGTTCACATTTCAGTCAGCTTTGGTGTCTAGTTTTGCTGAGGTTAAAAAGAGACCACCTGATCACAGCAGTGGAAGTAGAGTACGTTCAGGAGGGTTATGGAGCAAACTGATCTGGATTGAAGCATGCAGTTTATACTTTAAAGATGTGGTGCTCCTGATCATTTTATTAACTTTAAAAGACATCTTTGTTTGGTATGTATACTGGTTTATAATAACTGTTATCCAACGTTAAGTATCTGTTAGTATGTTCTCACAATTGTTTTCATGTGCAAACCATGAGTTGATCAAACATTAAAACATGTTTTTACTCAGGAATAGCTTCAAAAAAAGTGTATCTTTTTGAGATTATGTGGAAGAAAGTTTGTACTTTGACCAGTTTACTTTAAGGGGACTTTGAGTAAAAGACAAGCCTGAGTCAGTGTTTGTTCATCGATCAAGTGTGAATCATCCAAGTTGTCCATGTCTGATTGGATAAATGGCAGAGTATGTACTGGATCATTGTAGCACACAGTTCTCCATGGCAGTGGAGAGAGCCAGCATTGAAGGATTGGGACTCTCGGAACGTTTTTTTTTATGTTTTTTAAGCGTTTCAGCTGATGGGAGTTTGAGTACAAAAGGGATCAAAAAGATGAACTTTAAAGGGTTGACAGGAGATTTGAAATGAGATTGGACAAGTTCATGATCAGAAGAATTTAGAGGTGAGCTGAGTCTACTAGAGGAATAACAACCTACGGTGTAGTGACGGAAGCCAAGTTAAACACTTGGCACTGTTTGCACTTTGCTGTATACTCGTAGGAGGGAGACCACAACTGATTTTCAGAGAGAGGTGAGCTCATCTACCTGCACAATGCCGTGTGAAGTTTTCTCCCCACTGCTGCTCCTGCTGCTGTTCGTCTCAGTGTTTGGAGCGTCTCGAGCCTGCCTGCAGGACGCTGCTTCAGCCTACAGATTCACCGGTGCAGTATGTCGGCTCACCCATCCTGCAGCTGTTGTGTGTGAGTGGAACTTTGACCCTGTTTTGGTTTTTATTTTGACCACTTGCCTCCCTGACCCATTTATTTAATTTGACCAATAATCTGATTTTCTGAGAACTTTCACCACAGCCCCTGGTTCAGGATGCAAACATGTCTTACTCCTGTGTCAGGTCTCTTCTGTGTAAACTTTAGGCAGAGGTGCAATATTTGTCAGCAGACCCTGTTCCTAACTTTTCTCCTGTCAGTGTCAAACAGTGTAAATCAGTCTGAGGCAGATCAAAGCAAGTTTGTTTATAGGGAAACATTTCTATATAAGGCAATTCAGAGAGCTGCACACAATCTAAAACAGCATTAAGAACATCCATAAGCAGAACAGAGACATTAAAGCTCCTATGAGGAGTTTTTGACTGGTTATGAAATAGACTGAAATGAATACTGATGTCTCTGTATGACCTACAAAAGCAAACAATAACATCAGGGACTAGATCAATTCTTCTAGGTATTAAAGGTATTTTTTAAATCCTGTAACCACTGCTAGGGGGTAGATGTCAGACAAGGTGATTCACAGCACGCTGAGGACACTGCCTTTTTTTTTTTTTTTAAATCCAAAAATTCCACATTTGACAGTAAGACAAAAGCAGGAAGATACAGTAACTACGCAGGTTCAGGGCAAGATGGGCAAAGCGATAAAACACACAGCTATGTCTGCAGGGGGCGCCAAAATGAACACAAACTAAAAGTTCCTCAAGGGTTAAAATACAATATTAAAATATAAGACAAAGAAATGTTGATGCAATCCACCTGAACACTCAAACACAGGCCCAATAGGAACAGAATTGAAAAGATAGGAACATTCAAGACGAGCCTTTTTGACAACTAAAAGATTGATTTTGTTAAACTGGAAGACTCAAACATACTAAAATACATACATGGTTACTTCAATTTTTTGATCGTCTTTGTATGGAACGAGTAGTTGATACTTTCCGCGACATAGAACACAATTCTTGAATGAATTGGGGATTACATTTAGAAAAATGTTTTAGCATTGTATATTGGAAATTCAAGCCGACCAATAGTAAGCAGCCCTATATTAAATTGATTTAAAGGTGTGGAACTCGTGCCCTACTGGCTCAGGCTTATTCTGCGAACATATGAGAATGTTTTGAAAATTGATTTAATAAATGCAGATGAAACGATATGTTTAAGACTCAGAATCGTAATTATAAAATGACCAGTATGTAGGTCACTGTGTATTCCCCTATGTGTTCATGTTGTTGTATAATGTCAACATGTACTGTCCTGTACATGTTTCTGCTTGTTGTTGTAGCTGGGGTCTGTTTGAGGTTGCTGTCTGTACGTATATGTGCTTGAGCATTGAAAAAATAAATAAATAAATAAAAGATTAAAATAAATAAATTGATTGTATTAAAAGAAAATGTACCTTAATATAAAATGTAAAAAGTATCTAAAAATCAGTTCACTTGTAGATAAATAGAAATGTAAGTGATGGAAAGGCATCAGAATATAAAATGGTTTAAAGATCTGTTTTAAAAGGACTCACAGTGAAATACAGACTTCTAGTTGGTGTCACTTTTTTGCAGCATACGCTACTGCTTCTGGTTTGGGTTTTTATTATACATAAGATACATTTTTTTGTCCCCTTGGGGAAATGTGTCACTCACAAGCATTCAGCTGCTTCAGCACGAGTCCGGGTCACAAGCAGGGCCGCACCACCAAATGGAAACGATCCTTGGATATGCTAAAGTCAATATAATTCCATTTTGAGCATTGTTTTTTTTCTTCTAATAAATACTCAGCAGCTTGGATGTACTTTTTTTTGTTTTCTTACTTGGCTGAAATTTATTTTCATCCAAGTGTCTTTGACCTGAAGACTTTCTGTGTGTTTCTGGTAGTGAACGATAAAACCACTAAAGTGATCGAGGCAGCGTTTCAGAATGCAAGATACCCAAGTTTGAAGAGAGAGAAATCCCTGCTGTTTATAGGAAGGGTCAAATATGGCCTTGAAAAGTAAGTAAAACCACACACACACACACACACACACACACACACACACACACACACACACACACACACACACACACACACACACACACACACACACACACACACACACACACACAAGCACACAGAATGACAATAAAAATATTGTGTTTCTCTGTCCACCAGTTTGGAGATTCACAACCTGTCGATTGGTCAGAGTGAGTTTGAGCTGCATCCAGGTGAAGGTATCAGCATGGAAATTAAGAATGTGTCTGCAGTCTTCAGAGGAACCATCCAGTATGGATACGGCAGCTGGCTGTGAGTCTGACAGTGTTTGATAAATACATCTCACAGAATCAACTCATAAGAACAAACAGAAAACACATGAAAACACATGCAAACACTACATTTGAAGGCAACTAGTGAATCGTTCTGAACCTTGTTCCCATTGAGGTTGTCAAGATGATTTTCCAGAGATGGTGTGATGATGACAGATGGTCAGACACTCGTTGGTGCTGGAACTCTACAGGGCGTTAGGATGGTTGAAAATTGAAAATCTATCCCCCATAGAGTCCAGACACTGGTGTTGGAGGTGTTGGCTAAGGCAGAGGAGATGATGAAGTAATGAAGTCCACTGGACAGTGATGGGCAGGTGGAGGGTCACATGTACTGTAACAATGGCATGAATGAACTGGAGGAAGCAGGAATATGATAGGCTTACAATAAGGGAGAGGAGCAGAGATATTAGATTTATTTGACCAGGTGATGAGAACAGATGATGACTATGCAACATAATGTGAGAAATATGTAATAAAACCAGCATGCAAGATGTATTCAGTGGAGAGAGCCAGCATTGAAGGATGAGGGACTCTCTCAGCATTAACCAAGAAACTTTTTTATTTTTTTATTTTAATTTTTTTTAAGCATTTCAGCTCATGGGAGTTTGAGTACAAAAGGGATCAAAAAGATGAACTTTAAATTGTTGACAGGAGATTTGAAATTTGATTGGACAAGTTCATGATCAGAAGAATTTAGAGGTGAACTGAGTCTACTAGAGGAATAACAACCTTCAGTGGAGAGAGCCAGCATTGAAGGATCAGGGACTCTCTCAGCATTAACCAAGGAACGTTTAAAAAAACCAAAAACATTTAAGCGTTTCAGCTCATGGGAGTTTGAGTATAAAGGGATCAAAAGCTCAATGTCAATGTCAGAGTGAGCTCCGACATTGCACTCTTTAAAGATGACTTGCCATTCAAACAGAGAAGCAGAATTCTGACCCCTCAAAGATAGTTTATTGTTGATTTAGCTGGTTTCTAAGTTGCATTTTCAGACATGGTGGCATGACCATTCTGCCAAGAGAAGGTCCCAGCAGCACTTTTGTCATTTGCTTTCTGTCCAAACATCTTTCTTTTTTTCTCCTGTAGTGTCAACGTTGGACATTCAGTTGACTTTGAAATTGATTCTCAGCTCGATCTTGGAATCAACCCAAAACTTTGTGAGTACCTCTATACATAATAATTTACAAAATAATTTAGTTTTGATACTAACTGATATTAAATATCATTTAGCTTGAACCTAATCCTTAACCATGCTGACTTTAAGTAGTTTAGTTTATTTGTCTTCCTCTGCTGCCTCACTGACTGAAGGTCATTTCTGATTTGTTGCCATGTAATCAATACTTTAGGTCGCACATACATTGCAGCTGCTGCTTTAATATGCTGGAACCTTCCTACAGTCTGTTATCTGAACATATGTCTTTATGTGTCCTCTCTGTTATCTCTGTCCCGTCTGTCAGACTGTGGAGAAGGGAAGGTAGCAGCGGACACATCAGACTGTTATTTGAACTTTCACAAGCTCCTGCTGCACCTGCAGGGGGACAAAGAGTACGTTTCAAAAGTGAACCCTGATGGAGTATCATCAGCAGAACAAAAAAATGCATCATAAAGTGACAGTGTCTTGACCCTCTTCATGTTTTGTTTGTTAGACCGAACTGGCTGAAGAAGCTCTTCACTGACTTCATCACCTTTACTGTCAAGATGGTCATCAAAGGACAGGTGAGGATTCAACCTTTCACTCATCTCTTCCCTAGAAGTGAGAGGAAACTTGATTTACTTGTTACCCTGATAGCGAGTTTGTGTTGTTTTAAAGACAGAGTTAAGGTAAAGCTGTAGATCTTCTTTTCTCAAATGCAGATCTGTATCGAGATCAACAAGGTGGCAAATATACTGGCTGACTTCATTCAAGACACAGCAGGTGTGTGTGTATGTGTGTGTGTGTCCGTGACAAAGAAAACAAAAACATTGTGTTTTCTGGTCTTTATAACTTTTGAAAACACATTTCAGTCAATCTTTAATTGTTTAACTCCAATTCATAAGAAGTGTTATCTCCAGATGCTTTACAAAAGAGCAGCTCTACCTCCAATAGTACATTTAGAGACTGTAGGTACCACGAGCAGGCCTGATAACTGAAGGCTCTACCTCCCATAGTACATTTAGAGACCGTAGGTACCACGAGCAGGCCTGATAACTGAAGGCTCTACCTCCCATAGTACATTTAGAGACTGTAGGTACCACGAGCAGGCCTGATAACTGAAGACTCTACCTCCCATAGTACATTTAGAGACCGTAGGTACCACTAGCAGGCCTGATAACTGAAGGCTCTACCTCCCATAGTACATTTAGAGACTGTAGGTACCACGAGCAGGCCTGATAACTGAAGGCTCTACCTCCCATAGTACATTTAGAGACTGTAGGTACCACGAGCAGGCCTGATAACTGAAGGCTCTACCTCCCATAGTACATTTCTTTTGTTGTCTGATGAAACACTAATCTGTTATGTTGGCGTGTAGATGTTACATGTTGCAAACATCATCCTATGATGATCCTATGATGTGTGTGTGCGTGCGTTTGTGTGTGTGTGTGTGTGTGTGTGTGTGTGGGTGTGTGTGTTCACAGGGCAGTTTCTCAGTGATGGAGCCATCAGTATGGATATTGGTGTAACTGCTGCTCCTGTCATCACTGCAAACTACATTGAATCTTACCACAAGGTCAATACTACCTTTATTAACAGTCACAACCTTGTCATCTTTAAAGGTCATACTCCTTTTCAACAGGTTTAAGTCTCAGAGGCCCAAACACATAAACCTTCTACAACATCAGCCCAGCTCAGAACAGGCTGTTTCCGTGTCTTTTATTGCACCATTACAATGAGAAGGCAGTCTCAGAGGGCAGAACAAACACCTAGCTGTGGGAGTGTCACTACCACCTATTGGAGGGGTTACTGCCCTTTGTGATGTCATGAAGGTAAAATCTCCAAACGGCCTGTTTGAGCACACATTTTCTGAAAAGTGGAGCAGGCGATAGACGGAGGATGGGCTTATCTCATCATTGAGGGGTTTGTAGACAGACTAGGGTCACACATTAGTGTAAAACATGGTCAAGTGTATTTTACATAATACGGGTATGTGACCTGCAAACGATGATTAGATTAAATTATCTTGTACTGTGAGAAAGACATTTTCAAAGATTGATAAGACACAGCTCTTAAGATGAGCCTGGGCTTGCTAATGCAACAGTTTAATGTTCTGGCTTTTAGTAGAGCCTTTTGAGTTTTGACCAGTCCCTTCTGTATCCCACAAGGATAGCAGCTTTATTATCAGAACTGTGTGGATAAAATATGTTTCGTATAAGAACTTGGGTGCGTGTGTGACGATGATTTTCTGTTCACCGCTTCACATTTTGTTTTGTTGTTTTACAATTTCATCAGGCACTGACCAACTACAACAACATCTCAGCTGTCATCAACGACTCACTTTTCCACCCCAATCAGCTGACTGAAAACAGGATGCTTTACTTTTGGCTGTCAGGTGAGCAGTTGACATTGCATTTACTTTTGAACTGTTGGAAGTTGCAGTTCATTAGAATAGAAAACTATATTTTAGGATGAGTCCTGCAGTATGACTTGTCCATATGCTGTTGATGTTTTTAGGAGTTAATAACAAAATAACAATAAAAGACTAAGTCATTGAAATTCTCTAAGCCGGTTATGCCTTAAATGATCTCTTATTATTTAGGTTTAATAAAGTATATGTGTAGTCATGTTAAAGGTTAGAGAGCTCTTTGTGTTCCAAAGTGGAAATTAATTTAGCTGGCACTTTGACTGGCATGAGGGAGACTAGACTTTGAATCTCCTTTTCATGAGAAGATTTGTAAGCTGTTTGTCTCTTAAATGTTGTTACGACCAGTGAGTAAGTAACCAAATCCAGAACACAGAAACAGAGATCTTGACTTTTAATGAGGTCTAATGCAGAAAAAAGGGAGATGAAGATGGAGTTGATGATTCCAGAGATTTGAAGAGTGAAGTGGAAGATGGCTTACCAGAGCAGGGGGATGAGTGGATGGAGAGCTGAGGTATAAACACTGCTGATTTGATAAAAGCAAGAAGAGCTGTTGAGAAGGCCAGAGACATGACAGTGGTAGCAATCAATTAAGCAAACTGGATCAAAATGGCAAGATGGCGGCGCATCCCAATGCAGTGTTCATGTTTTCTAAGAAACATGGCCTGTCCTGACTGCACCTCAAGTTTGAGGAACACTTTTATCCCCACAGCCAAAGCAGCTCTTAAATGCTCCCAATAACATCCTAACTGCCTTTTCAGCACATTTGACTTTATTTCTCTTTTTTTGTTGCTGCATTGATGGCAGGATGCACAGTCAGTAACATCATATCTGCTGCAATGACAAGATAAAGGTGTTTCATTTTATTCTAATTCATTATCATACATAAACTTACATAGAAACTAGATTTCCTTGATAACATGTAAGTAGGCCTTTACGACAGTGACTGTCTGCTGTTATGTAGATGTAACAGTTCTCACGCCTTCTTTTTGACTTAGAAGTGGGTTTTTTGTTTTTTTTACTATAAACTTGTGTGATACACCTTTCACTTGTATTTTATCTCAGACCAGGTCTGTAACCCACTGCTTAGTGCTGCCCACCAAGATGGTCGTTTCACACTCAACATCTCTGGAGCAGAGCTCACTGTAAGTACATCACCTTTGAAGAAGTCCTGTGTGGTGTCCTGACTCATATTCTTATTGATTTGCTCTATAGAATAAATACTGCAATCATAAAAAAACAAACTTTGAACCTCTACATATTGATAATTAACAAATTGTCAATTTTTGCACTTTAGTTTCTCGTTGTGTCTGACTTTATTTCAGGAACTTTTCAAGACAAACCTCTCCAGTGCTGTTCCTGAATTTATCAGAACGGTAACTGTGAAACATCGTTACACATTCTTACAAGTCTGCACACTCTCAAAAACTTGTACCTTTGTCAGATGAGACATATTATTTGACATATTACATATTGTATTATGTGTGTGTGTGTGTGTGTGTGTGTGTGTGTGTGTGTGTGTGTGTGTGTGTGTGTGTGTGTGTGTGTGTTCAGTGTCTGTTGGAGTCAGGTTCTCCTGAGCTACGAGTCTGGAGTTCATCTGTTCCCTTTCTAAATACCTCCACCTCGGGGACGACTATCTGGGCAGAGGCCTCTGGGCAGCTCAGCTGTGGGATGCAAGGCACACCAACACTCTTCTTTCAAACGGTACTTGGCACTTATTGAATGACAGGACATGGAAAGTGTTGACAGCTTTAAAAAGATGTTCAACCTTTACAGCAGTTCAGCTTCTCTGTAGTTCAGAACACTAAAGCCAGAATGCACCCTGTGTTTGAGTGATGTTTGTTTTTTCTTTACTAGAATGTGGTCATGGATGTCACCGCTTCCTATGCTGACAAGAGACTCTTCCTGAAGGGAAACGCGTCAGAGTAAGACCTGATGTGATGATTTTTAATTACAAACACATAAAGCGTTCAGTAAACCGCTGTTGGACTTCAGACTCCAACATGAGAATCATTCTTTTATTTTTGTCATTTAAATCAGTACACATACCTAAAAGACACAAAATGTGTGTTCTGTGGGTTCAGCAGCCCAAACCTCTTTATGAAGTCGTTGGCTCGTCATGGTGTTGTAATTAGATGTACACACTGTAAAAGGACAGAAGCAGACGAGGAGAAGGTAAAAGGAGAGGAAACACACATGGCCCATCTTTATGTAAAGTGGGTGTCTAATTGGTGGATTTTCAGTTGTGGAAAGTTTCAGAAATCCGCCTTAGCCCACCTCTATAATGTTTGTTTTTGTCACTGTGCTCAGTTCTATCATCTCTGAGTGTGTAGTTTTGTGTTTCAACATTTTTACTGAGTCTGGTTTTCCGTCCATGTTCTTTCTTTCAGGGTCGTTATAGTCCGCGCTGAGCTTCTGTTACAAAATGAGCAGGTAAAGTGTTGTAAGCTGATGAGGGAAATAAAACATTATATCCAGTTATTGGGGGCGGCTGTGGCTCAGTGTTAGAGTCGGCTGTCTCTCAACTGGAAGGTTGGAGGTTCAATCCTCAGCTCCTGCAGCCACATGTCCGATGTGTCCTTGGGCAAGACACTTAAGCCCAAGTTGCTCCTGCTGCTTCGTTGGTGATGTATGAATGTGTATGAATAGGATAGCTAATACTGATGGTCACTTTCCATATCAGCCTCTACCATCAGTGTGTGAATGTGTAGGTGTGACCTGTGGTGTAAAAGCCCTTTGAGTATTCAAGTCCATTTAGGATTTATCATTTATCTCTAGAAAAAGCTGCACTACAGGACTGTTTACAAAGGCACAGAATAGTAATATGTCAAACTTTTGTATAAAAGTGAAGAAATTTAAATTCAACTGAATTGTAACTTCATATCAACCACAGAGACTCAGAATATGTGGGGAAAAGATTAAACAAATGTTCAACTCTTAGTTTCCTGCAGTTTAAATCATTAATGTTCATGTTGATGTTGAAACTGTTGATTATATTTTCTATGTTTGATATGACTTGTTAAATCACCTCCTACTCTCTATCCAGCTGCTGACTGAGGCACATCTGGAATTTGTAAGAGAAGCAGTGGAGAAGATAGGAATTCCCAAGGTTCTATCAGGTGAGACAACAATAACACCTTCATCATAAAAAAAATTCCCAAATGTGTAAAAATGAAAGTATAGTCAATATATGATTTTATTTATCATCAATTCTTTTGCTTATATATTGATGAACTTAAACAAACCGGAAATATATCAAGATGATTTGCAGCTTCAGCAGGATGGTCATATTTATTTCAAATAAGTATTTCAACAATTTTTAAGTAAGCACGAAATCCTGGATTTATTTCAAACTGATGATTCTTGCAGTTGATTTCAAACTGAATGGGGACATTTACTTTCAATTATTTGAGTTATATTTGTTCTGCAAAAGAGATGAAGCCAAATCCACATGTGAGGTCTTCAGTGATACTTTGTGTTGTGTTTCAGTTCTTGAGGTTGAACTTACCAGGCTGTTGGACAAACAGGGAACTAACCTATTTGACATCTTTAACCCAGAGGTGCTTCCTCGGGATGTAAGTGTGACTTCTTTTTTTTAACTTTTCCCAGTTTGTGGTTTACCTGTCACTAATTTTGCTCTCTTTGCTGAAGGGCTTTGTGGTGATTCAGACAGATTTTGGTTTCCCTCATCACCTCCTGGTCGAGTTTCTAAAGAAGACTCTGCAGTAATGAAAAAAAAGCTTTTTAGCCACATATAAATATAGTTATCAGCTCAAACAGAATATATACCTTGACTTACTATTTGTTTGAAACATTTAAATAAAAATGATAAGGAAAGTCTTGTCTCTGATGTTCACATTTCCACTGGTGAATGAACGTGATGCATGAACACCATAAGGATGAAGTAAACTTTTGTTTTATTTTGTAAAAAAAAAAAAAAAGAAGTCCACTTTGTTGTCATTTATTTATACATTTGTTTAATGATAACAGACAGATTTATTTTTCTGACTTAGAGAGGATATGAGGCTTAATATTTAAAGCATTCTTTATATTATTAGTGAAATTGATTTGACAAAGTGTTTTTAGGGAAGAAAAAAGTGCAGATTTTTCTAATTCAGTTATATCTTTTTTAAATTACTCTTTTTTTACTTAAAGGAAGAATGTCGCCGTTGAGCACCAGCATGAAACCAAAAAAAACTGCTATTTAGCCACACAGCAGTCCTGTGTCCTTTGCTGGAGCTGCAGTTGCCTGTGTCCTGCATTGTTGTGTTAGCATGCTAATGTTAGCACACTTTGGTTAGCTCATAGCTTCATATTGCACATAAATTGACACAGAATGATGGTGATCTAAAAATGCTTACGTGACAAATAATCAGTGAGTATGTTCTTCTTCTTTTCTCTAGTCCTCAACTGAAACAGCTTTATACACAAGGTCGTACCCTCCATGTAAACATGATGTAAACACAGCCCGACAACAATACAGCTGGCGGGACTCACACTTCTCACTCGTTGTAGACAGTCATGAATGTTCATTTCTGCTTTATTTATGTGTAAAATGTCACACATTCTTCCTTTAATATATGTTACAACTTCAGACAGACTTGGTAATGTTCCAGCATCTGTTACTCTTCTCTGTAAGCCCCTGACCAGGATCAGCATTCAGATTGAAAACCTGAAGATGGAGCTGAAAGTGTTGAAGAAAGCACTGAGGGGAGTGTCTATACCATCAATCATAATATATATTCTCAACTCATTTTATGACTACTTGTTCATTGATGTTTAATGACTGTCTTTGATGTCAGTTTAGGTTTGTGGTTCCCAACCTTTTGTGGCTCCTGATCGCACTTTGAACTCACATAACTCAGGCGACCCCAGACATCCAAACACAAACAGCTTTTTGCTCAAATTTATTTGTTTTCAATCATGTAACAGTTTTTCTACTGTGTTCCATGAAAACACATTCAGGCTTTTTCAAGTTATATTATTGTTGACAGAGGAAGAGAGGCTGACGTGACATGAATACCTACACACTTAATTTGATTATTGATGATGATAGTGATGATGATGATGATTTTGTTTGATAATGATGGCTTTAGGATGGTTTTGATTCTGATTAGAACTCTTAAGAACAGCTGTCATCGATGTTGTGCTTTGCCTCTGGTCACTTCCTGTCATCACCTGCGTGTGCGATCAGACTTAAAGCTGTTTGTTTGCAGATGTTGTTTCCTTTCTAGATTCTTACTTGTGATGTATGTAATCTCTGATGTACGTCGCTTTGGATAAAAGCGTCTGATAAATGAATTGTAGAATTGTAGAAGATGACGGACAGAGACTCTGCAGGTTTCTTGTTTTGGCTATGGCCCAGTGTGTTCAATATATTTTAATATTAAATTAATTTTTTATTGACCAATAAAAATGAATGAAAACAAAACTGAAGTGGTTCTTTTTGGCCCCTCTGAAGCCATAAAACAGGTCCCAAGCAGCTTAGGTCATCTTTCCTCCCTCATCAAGCCACACGCTAAGAACCTTGGAATAATATTTGATTCCGCCTTCACATTTGAATACCAGATCAAATCAGTAGTTAAAACATTTTTTTTAACCATCTTGAAACTTAAACCTATCCTCACCTTTCATGACTTAGAAATAATTATCCATCTCGTCCCGTCTCGACTCCTCTGAAGCCATAAAACAGGTCCAAGCAGCTTAGGTCAACTTTCCTCTCATCAAGCCACACGCTAAGAACCTTGGAATAATATTTGATTCCGCTTCACATTTGAATACCAGATCAAATCAGTAGTTAAAACATTTTTTTTAACCATCTTGAAACTTAAACCTATCACCTTTCATGACTTAGAAATAATATCCATCTCGTCCCGTCTCGACTACTGTAACTCCCTGTACTCGGGATCAGCCAGTCATCCCTATCACGACTGCAATTGGTTCAAAATGCTGCAGCCAGGCTGCTTACTGGCTCATGTAAAAGGGAGCATATCAGCCCTGTTTTAGCCTCTCTTCACTGGCTTCCAATTCGTTACAGAATTGATTTTAAGGTTGCATTGTTTGTTTTTAAAGGTCTGCCCCCTCTGTGGAATCTTTTAAGTCCCGCCTCAAAACACACTTTTACACGTTGGCCTTTGAGTCCTAGTTAGGTTGCTTGTACTTCTATCAAATGTCTTATAATATTATTGTCTAATTATATTGTTAGTATTCTGTGTGCATGTGTGAGTTTTGTCTTGTTATTGTTATTTTTGTTTTGCTCTTTAATCTGTATTGCTCTTTTGTTTCATGTACAGCACTTTGGTCAGCTGTTTTAAAATGTGCTTTATAAATAAATGTGATTGATTGATTGGTATTGATCATTTTCTTTAAATCAAAAGTGTTTTGATCCTCAATATTTTCTCTACATTGATTTACTATTGTTACTCTTGAGACATGATGAATTCAGGTTCAATGTACAACGTAATTTCAGGAATCATACATTCATCACAGGACTAGATTACGATCGATTGTCACCAGAACTGTGTGTCAATCAAATGGAAATGTACAGATGTTATTGTGTATTCACATCTGTCCAATGGTCTGAAGGAGACGTTTCATTGGCAGTAGAAGGTGAGGACGTTCTCCTGGTTTCCTCTGACCATTAGGACTGGAGGTCTAAGATCACGAGACAAGAAGTCGAGCCAGGCGAGGTAGAGCGTACTGGGACACGCCCCTCTCCTCCCCACAGGCATGATGCTGTCAGGACACACAGTCACAGACAAAAGGGTTAAAAAAGGTGTTGTGTTTCTGTAACTTAAGAACACCCACAGCTGATCTATTTTAAAATCTAAGTGTGAGGAAATGGAGGGGTGCAGTTGGTAAACTGTCATAGCTTTTGCTCACATTGTTCAGCCTGTAATAAAACAGCACTTAATGAACCTAAAAAGAAGAATTACTCCACTTACATAACAATGAGAGCAGCTTCTCTGGAATAATCCTGCAGAACCTCATTCAGGCGAATCTGGCGGAGAGACTGAATCACAAGGAAGTTTTAATCAAAGAGGACAGAGAAAAAAGAGATTTCATATTTTCTTTGTATAAATATATCCAATATTAAACGTGCTCTATTAGAGTGTGTGTGCTGGAGATTACAACAGTGCATATGTTTCTATGTTTGTGTGTCAGACCTTGGCCTTGTTTTTCTCTACATCCTGGTCAGTGATCATCCACGGCTCCTCCTGCAGCCCGGGAGTCCCTGCGTCAGAACCCAGTTTGAGGTTCTTATCCAGCCTGAATCGAGCTAACATGTTCTCAAACTGATGAACGCTGGAACACACAGACACACACAGATCATGGCCAATGGCAGTTTGCAGGTGATGCCGGACGCTGCCATGAGGCTGATTGAAATTCTGGCTTCATGAAGAAAGCAAAAAGTTATGTTTCACAAGGATCTGATTTAAGATCTAAGCCAACATTTAATCTGTTCGCATGGAGTATGATACAGACATGAAGGCTTTGTGTAAATATATAATAAAGCAACAGGATTTTTGGAGAAAGCAAAGGATAGAAGTGTGGCGGCTTTGGCTCAGTAGTCCATCGTCTCTCAAGTGGCAGCCATCAGTGTGTGAATGGTCTTGACTTTGTCTCGAGCCCTAAATGTCTTGGTCTTGTCTCGGTCTTGGAGCACTCTGGTCTTGGGTCTTAGTCTTGGTTAGTGTGGTTTGACAACAACACTACTACTCCTCCTAAAATGAAGGGTGCTTCATTCAGCTGTGGGCGTGACCTGAAATAGATCCACTCTGTGCAGAAAGTTTGAAAAGTCCAATAAAAGTCCAAGTCCATTTACCCAGAGGTCAGAGGTCCTTCAGTAACCACTGGCTACACAAGAAGGCCCAAACATTGCCTATTGCTCCAAGAGGATCTCTGTCAGATGAGGGCCAATAGGATCCTAGATTTCATTTCTTTAGTGGTGATAACTCTGAAATGTATTGCAAAGCCTGGACCTCAGAATTGTAGGATTGAACGTGACGAGTAACCACAGCTGAATACTGTTCGGCACACACAATATTAATGTTTCATTTCATTCAGTGATGTTAAACAAGTCGTGGGCAGCCATACTTTCCAGGCTGAGGATTTTGGTAGATATCAGGAAGCACTTCAACGTCATGGAAACCAAGACGAAACTTCTTGATCAGTGCCAACACCCTAGAGAAAAAACATTAAATGTTAGAGCTTTAGGCTTCATTCATCTGTCACCTTAATGACAAATGTACTTCAGTTATTAGGGAAATAAATCAAAGTGTTTACTCTTCTCTTTGCTCCTCTTTCTTGTCAGAATCTCCTCCCACAAACACTCTGACCTTACACGCGGCCCAACGCTTCCTCCGAGTCAAGAGATAGGGCAGCAGCAGGGTCAGTCCTGGTCAACCACACACACAAAAACTGCGTCCTACATATACTCAAATTAAAGTAAAAGTTCTGCATTTAAAAGTATTTCATGAATACATTTACTTTAAAGCTCCTGTGAGGTATTTATAACTTGTTTTGAAACAGACTACATTTGAATTTTAATGACGTAAAAAAGCAAAGAAGATCATAAACAAAAACATTATTTATTTCTTTATAGTAATTTTTCATGCCTGAAACTGCTGCCGTGTGGTAGATATATATGACAAGGCGGTTGACAGCATGCTGCCAAACAGCCTGTTTTTTTTTTTTTTTTTTTTACAATTTATCAAATATTCACTATGAGTGAGTCATCTGACTGTTGAATGAATGCTGGATGAGATTCAATGATTAAAAAAAAACTCTAACATGTACAGGAAAAGATAAGAAAAGAGATAAAAGTTCCTTCTCTGTCCACAGGGGGAACCAAAATCAACCCAAACCAACAGTTACTCACAGGAGCTTTAAATATTATATGAAAAAGTGCTGGTTTAAAAGGGTGATAGTGACATTTAATCTCTGTGAAAAGCTGCTCTAATGCTCTTTAATTTAATAAATAAAGTGATGGAGAAATGGATGGAGAAATAATCAGACCTCCGTCATCAGACAGCCAGTACACATCAATGGTCTTCTTCACTTGTTTTTTCTGGAACACAGAACTAGGCTGTGACCTCCCGTCGATGGAAACCGTAGCTGCAAGGGATTTTGTACAGTGAACATAATTTTTTGATTTAATCTCATTTAAATGGCACTTAATCATTTCTGGTATTAAAGCACATTATTGTCAAACAGTTTTAATAAAATGTAGCATGCACCTTTTTTCTGTATTTAAAAAAAACTGCCATGAAACGTAGCAGATGAATCGTATTATTTACACATGCATACGTACATGTAGTGCTTGTTCGAACACAGGGAGGGACAGAGATGGTGTTTATGTTCTCTCGTCCTGCATCGAAGGCTGGATTAACTAAATAAAAAAAGAGAGGTTTTCTACTAACATGCATTCAGAAGTCAATCATTCCAACCACAATGGACACCTCTTCCCACCATGGCCCTTGTTAACAAGTAACAAACTGATGGAGATAGGGTATGGTGTTAAATGAATTCACTCTCAGTGTACTCTAATTTGAAATGCAGCTCTCACCGTGTGAATGAGACGCATTAGAGACATCCAGTCCTTCCTTTATTCTCAGCACACACACGCTGTACTGAAGGTCAAATGCATCACTAAAACAAAATCATGAATTTTCACATTGGAAAGCTTTTGGTTATCAGGGTGTGCAATAATAAATCAGGACACATGTTAAGAGGTTTCTTAACCCCGTCTGTACTCACTGCAGTATTCCTATGTAGTTGTGTGCAGCCTGAGCTGTGTCACTGCGCCAGTCTTTTTTGAAACCCATCAGGAGAACGTTTGGCCTCATACGACCCAAACCTGCCCCCTGGTGGATAGAAGATGAACATAATATTGACAATCACGGATCACTGGCTCTGTAAACCCAGTGAGTTTATGAAGTTCTGCACATGATGGAAAGCCATTGACAACATCACATTAGGAGCAGGGAATTTCATATAAAATAGGATTATGAAGGAAACAGAAAATCCATATGAAGCACATTTAGCGAGACTAAACAAAGTTTTTCTAGAGAACAAATAAATAGCAGCTGTAGAAAGTAAGTTCTTTCAACCTTTATTTATACTCAAAAGATCATTGAGGGGCAACCCTCATTTACAATGACATCGAGTCATTACAGAAATAATTAGAAAACAGACATTAAACCAAAAAGAAAAACAGGCGACAGATAATACAAGACTGCTAAAATCAGTTTAAAAAGTCTAAAATGTACTAAGATAATTAAGCGAGAACAAAACTGCAATAAATAAACACACTTAGTTAGTTACACACAGAGGTTGGGAGGCTTAAAATCAGGTTTCTAAAATGCCCAAAAGGTCATTTCCCTCAAGAAGATGCTTCCAAGAGTCCGCTGCAGAATAAGAAAAAGCAGATTTTCCGATCTGACTCGAGGAACATTCAACAGTAAACGTCTTGAGGAACGCGTCTGGTAACGCCCAGTCGAGAGATGGATAAGTTCTGTCAGGTATGAGGGTCATTTTTCTGTGAGAGCTTTATAAATAAAAAGATGCCAGTGCATATCACGTCTTTCTGTTAGAGATGACCATCCAACCTTGTTGTACAAGATACAATGATGTGTATCATAGCGGTCACCTGTAATAAATCTTAATACAGAGTGGTAGACAGAGTCGAGACGTTTAAGCGTGGTGAATGCCTATAAATAATATCACATAGTCCAAGTCCAAGTACAAAGCTCAGCAGCACATTATATTAAAAACACAAAACAATAGAAAAAGAAACAATAGACAGAGAACAAGAAAATAGTTGGCAAATACTCAGAGCAGTATGTATCGATAATAAAAAGCTAAGCACGCCCCTGTCATCAGGGTACAATGTACACTTTTGGAATTCAAGTTATTGAGAACATTATAAGAGTGACAGCAAAGGCCTTTATACATTAGAGAGAGAGAGAGAGAGAGAGAGAGAGAGAGAGAGAGAGAGAGAGAGAGAGAGAGAACCTGGTCCGCCCACTTGGAGGAGGTGTGCCTTAAAACGCCCCTATCCTCTCTAGTCAAAACAAATACAGTCCATCTAAACTATGAGGAGGACTCTGTTTTTGGTCAGAGGAGCCAGCACTTCAACTTAACATGTTTCCTTAATGATCATATGTTAAGATCATTTTATGATTTAATTAACTACATTTCTTGCACATAACAAGGAATAATTATAATTAAACTTGAGATTTGTAAATATGAAATTATCACGTAGATATTGTACTTTTAAGAAGTTGCTGTGCTCCTCTCTTTAATACCCAAACTTTATATGAAAGCAGCATTTTCTTCCTAAATTTTCAGAGATGTAAGAACCTTTCTTATGAGCATTGAGCTGTCAGAGGTATGGTTGTAAATGTTTTTATGTATCCTTTACAAAATGTGCTTCTTGTACATTGTCAATGAAAGCTAAACATTGGCCATCCTATTAACACAAAGAAGCCAGGGTTTTGAAACAGGCCCACACAAAGTAAATCATAATAATTACTATATTGCACTTTTACAGAATAATTCTTCCCCAGTCTTCTGATCCCGATCAGAACTCATCCACATACACATTCTTATCTATGGAAACTTATTTGTTTGGACTGCAGGGTCTAGTGATAAAACTGGTTATTTACTACAGTAAAAAGAACATATAATGATCTGCATATTCTGCTTATTTCTATAGTACAGAAAAGAATGGCTGAGGTGTCATTCTTACCTGTAACAGCATGTTAACACCTGATCGTAGCTCTGTAGCCACCACACCTCTGTAGAATGACTTAACCTTCCTTTGGTTCAACCAGGTTATATGACCGTCACTGCTGGTATTGTCGACTGCTGATGAGGAGGGATCAGCCTGACATAAAGAAATTCAGAGACCAAAATGGCTCTGAGTACTGAAACATGGCTTTATGAAGGTTAAGTATGTTTAGTCTTGGGTCTTTACGAATTCAAAAATCAAAGTAAAGATATAAACTTCACTAGACAAAGTGCATGTTGACATGTACTCACAGTGATCATGTTGACATGTACTCACAGTGATCACGTTGCCACACATCATGAGACTGAGACCCTTTGTGAAACAGCTGACCAGATCCACCAGAGCTGGACGACTGCTGGGAGGACCTGACAGCACCAGACACTGAGGCCTGATGGGTGAGAAAAGCCACAGCTAGTCTACAGCTTCTTCACACACGTACACTCACACGGACATTCACAACATTGAGAAGGGCTTGGATCTTGTTTTTGAGTTGATCATCCATGAAGCCTATTTATTATTTCCTCATCACACAAAAATGTAACTGCATTGATGTGAACATTACAGTAAGAGTTTGGCCTCAAGGAAAAAAAGAACAATTTACTTTTCTTTTCAATTAGTCAGCCTGCACAAATCTTACTTTTAGGACTTCCAAGACTTAAAGGCTTTATATGTTATTTTTTTGATCCAGCAGATGTTGCCCTTGAGCACCAGCATGAAACCAAAACAACTCACGCTGCATTGTTGTGTTAGCATGCTAATGCTAGCGATCTTTATTATGCTGGTATCTTCACACTGCATGTAAATTTACCTGAAATGAGTGTGATCTAGAAACACAGTTAAGCAGTGAGTACAGTATGTTATTCTTCTTTTCTCTAGTCCCTCAATTAAACAACTTTTATACGTGAGGGAGGAGTCAGCCGGCCGTCCCAGCGATGTAAACAAATTGAAGATAGGACTCTGAAAACTCTGAAAACATCACAGACAGTGGGACTCGGGTGTTACACCCATTGTAGACAGTCATGACTCACAGAGTTATTTTCAGAGGATAGACTTGATTTATATTACATTTAAGTGTGAAAAATAAAGCCTATATAAGGCCTTTAAGTGTTTAAACCCCGCCTCTTAACTGACCTGTAATTCTTGACGTGGTCCTCCACATGGTTGAGGCCGACACATTGGTTAAGAGCGATGTTGTAGGAGCTCGCCTGCACCGAGGAGCCCCAGTTTACAGCTAACCACAGAGTATAGCAACAGAGTTAGGAAAGAGAAGAAGAAGTATGGTTGTTTCTTCTGCCTGCATGTGTAAGAGGTCACCTGGCTTCTTGTAGAGTGTGTATCCCAAAAGAAGGAAGACAATGCCAAAGGCGATGAGGGCCGCCCACCAGTTCAGCATAAACATGATGACGACACAGCAGATGGTCCCCAGCAACGACAGCCACTTACTGTAGAATCTGAAGGAAGGACGCCAACCTGTAGACACACACACACACACACACAACAAAATACACACAAAAATGTATGGGCATAACTCTATGAACCTAATAATCAATGTTCATTTCTTGTGTTTCACTGCTGATCTTTTCACCTGGTGAGTTGGTGATTGAGGCGTGGAAGCAGCTGAAGTTGATCAGAGAGTATGAGCAGAGGAAGAAGTTGGAGATGATTGGAGCGATGGTGTTTAACTCGGCTGGTGGAGAAAAAGAACCAAGGGGGGGATGATTCAATTTAAGAGAACTTATGGTCAGCTTAATATTTTATTCTTTACAATAATAGGTGAATGTATTTCATTTCTATGATTGAGTGTAATATGTTAGTGGCAGAGTCCACAAATCCTACACCGTATTCAAGTGGCCAATGTGAGCATCAAACACTCCACGGCTACTCTTCTTTTATCTTATTGATATGAGCGTCTCTACAGCTTACTCTTCTCCTGGTTTCAAAGCTGCATCATGCTAACACAAACCCAACATTTCCCACGGCCACTGAGTCAAATACAGAGTGTCTAACTGTCAGAACATGAGCTAGTTTTAATGTTATGTAATGTTAAGGATTCATTTTTCATTTTGCTTCAAGGTAATGGAATAAAAACAGGGAGCTGTCAGAGGAAAATGTGAACACCCCAACTCATCAGCATGTTAACTGAGGCCTGTCGACGTGCCCTGCTGTTATTTTAAGCCTGACATTATGCAATGATAACAATAAGTACTGACTGACTTCTTGTACGATTAGGTATGGCTAAACTGTTTCTTTTAAATGAAGTATAAACCATTCTATACCAAGCAGGTTCGTGTCCAGGGGTGGCATGGGCCCTCTTTGAAATTTGATAAGCCACCCTGCATGCCACCCCAAAATCCCAATTTCAATAATGACTGTGGAGAAACACCTTCTTTATGAGTCCTTAAATGCATAAGCTAAGATGTAACATGTCGTTCTCAGGTGGTCCTCAAAAGGAGTTCAGATATAAATAAATAAATAAAATTAATTTGTGTGTTTGCATGTGCACAGACTTCATAAGTCAATGCCCCATTTGGGCCACTCCTAGTAAAAGAAAAGTCCGGATACACCCCTGATATCTGGTATATACCTCTGTCAAAACTAGGACTGTACCTGAGGAATTATAACTTCCATTTAGCTAGGGACAGAAATAGATGACTGTATTTGTGTATCTATTGTGGCTACAAGGAGAGCAGAGTTTGGCTCCGTACACAAGACAGCTTACAATGTATTTTGTCATTATTTAAACTCCAATCAGTTTATCAGTTTATGTCTGCTTAATTTTCCAGTTTACCAAACTTGCTTCCAGCCCATATGTATTATTCCCCTTTTTATTCAGACTATAACTGCTGCCATTCCTGTTGGTCATCTACAGAGGTCAAAGGATTTCTATGAAGCCTCACCAATGATAATGAAGCAGGCAGCAATTATGTATGTCAGCAGGTAGCTTCTGAGCGGCTCATCGTTCTTTCCATAACCTTTGCCAAAGAAGCCAATTAGAGGGTAGAGTTTGTCCTTGCACAGACACTACCAGAAAAAAATGAGAGACAAAACTAAATAAATATTTCATCCTCACATCTGACACAAAGATACACACTTGTGTTTAAAGATGAAACATTTTACAAATATAAAATACGCTGAGCAGGTTTTGAGACAATGCATGATATCTGATGTGTGTGTGTGTGTGTGTGTGTTTGTACCTGGAACACTTTGGGGGCAGACACCAGACAGGCTAAAGCAGAGGAAAGTGTTGCTCCAAATATACCAGCAGTGATGAGAGGGGCGAAGGCTGACACCATGCTCATCGACTAGAGACACAATTATAGTGTTTACTTATTTAAATCACGTCTTTCTCACGACAGAAACTGTTTGTCTACACGCTAACCTACTGTCACTGAGTTTTTAATAAAAGAGAGGTGGACTGACATTCAAACTGACTTTATGTTGTCTCCTTCTTCTCTACTTCTAATTGCCCAAAGTGGAAAAAAAGAGGAATATGTACGATTTCATATAAAGCAAGACTTCACTTTAAGAAAAAGAAATGTGGAGTGACACCATCTATCACCAACTGTTGTGTGAGCTTGTGCTGACCTGATAGTAGTTACTGATGCCGTAGGTGCAGGTTTTATTGTTGATACACTGGGTGAAGTCCCATCCATAATCACAAGCTACACTAACACAGTCATTGCTGGAGGTCAGTGACAGTGTGTCATTCAACAGACCAGACGCCTCTCGAACCACACAAGATGCTGAAACACAAACAGCCACAAGAAAAAATACATTTGAATATGTATAAACCTCAACCTGAAATATGAAAAATTAAACACAGTTTGTGAGCCTCGACATGATTATTTTAATTGATGTTGTGTGTTGATATTATTGCTCTTATAAATGGTGTTAATAAAATACATTCACTAAAACCTTCAAGCAGATATGTTTTCCTGTACTGACTACATGTTAGCATGTTGCAATTATAGCTGCATATCCATCCATACATCCATCCATCTGTACATCCAACCATTCAGGATAACGAACGGTTAGAGGCAATCCTAGCTCTTAGAGCAACATATTCACAAACAAATTCTATTGAAGTATTTTCCATTTCATTCATTTTTACTTTTGCTGCATAAAGCAACCAAGTCACAATCTGTACAGATCCCATTATTTTGTCACTGTTATTGTCATTTTATTTAGCTAGACTTGTGTCAGTGCTGTTAGTAAGTATTGAAATTCTTGTTTTCAGGGGGAAAAAAACTAGTTTTTGGTTACAGTGACTTTGACCAGCGTATTTTAATAAGTTCACTCTGGGTTCTAAGTGGAGCGCTTTGCCCGATGTAAGGAAATATCCTTGATGTTTTCCTGAGATATTGTGTTCAAGAGAATAGAACAGCCATGAGATAGACATTGATCATCAAAATTGAATCTGTTCATTGACTCAATCTGGCTGTTTTATGCATATTGCAGGAGCCGCAAACCCCAAGTTGTACCCGCTGCTTCGTCGTGAATGTGTATGGATTAGATTACTTAATACTGATGGTCACTTTTCACAGCAGCCTCTGCCATTAGTGTGTGAATGTGAAGCTCAAGTCCATTGAGTTCTTGATATTCAAGAAATATTCACCATATGGCTCTGACCATAGGGACAGATGTGCAAACCAAAAACTATATACCTCCATTCAAGGCTGTTGCCCCTACCGAGATGCAACATGATCATGAAGGTCTCATTTATTCAAAATATACCAGACATATTGTTTCTATCTCTTTGAGGGAAAGACCGTGTGACTGCGGAAATCGTTTTTCACAATACCAATGGTTGAACTGATTATAAGGTAGGAGATGGTGGTCCAGAATATTGCCATTAATGTTCCTTTAGGGATGGCCACTGCGGGATTCTGGAAAGAAGAGAACAAGATGCTTATGTTTAGCCCTTTGAAGAACAGTTAAGTTAAACACTTCATGAACAGAACGTGTCTTTCTATCTGGCAACAAGGAAGGGTTTTTAAACCCACCAAGAATAATGCATGCCCAATCAATTTCATGTAAAAAAAACTTGAGATAGCATCAAGGCAGAGAGTAAAAACTACCATACCTTCAGGTCTCCAGAGATATTAGCTCCTGCCAGGATGCCTGTGGCAGAGGGAAGAAAATCGAGAACATACCAAAGAAGCTTCCATCTGGTCCTTGCCACTTTGGCACAAAATTGGTAGCAAAGATATCAGCTGTTGGGGGTGAAAAAGTCGTTTTACTAAAAAATTACAACAAGCAGTTTTGTACAAGAATGCTGGTAAACTTTGTATTCTTTAAAATAATAGCCTCCCTTTTTAATGAATGATGTAAAGTTGCATTGCCTGGATGAAGGACGGGGACTTTATAATCACCTCTGTAGCTGAAGAAACCCTTGGCTTGTTTCTCTGGTGAGGCAGGGATGATTGTTCCCACTATGTAACTGGCAAAAGACACCAGGATGACCAGGAAGAACAGAACCTGAGTCTGTGGATGGAAGGATATTCAGTGAACATGCATACAGATTTACACTACACATTGAGCTACTGTCTCTCAGCTAACATTTAAGACTTGTGTAAATCAGTGTACTTGTGTTGAAAAATACAACAGAAAACTCAAAACTCAACTTTTTCGATTCTCTGATTTTTTGAATTTTTCAAAATCCAAAATAAAAAATGCCAACAAATATCTTAAGTTCATAATGTGGAAGATATGGATGAACATCTTGGCTACCTGGAATCCTTAAAACAAACATAATAGACTATCTAAGGTGACTTTTTCTGTTTTAAATAGTTGTGATAAGAATAATTTAATGGTATGTCAATGCAGTTTAACAGAATAGTTAGCCTAGATTCACAAACACTATTCATGCAAATAAAAAAGTATCACCCCACCCCACCCCAGCCCAACTCCTAACCCCAACTCCATGGGATAGAATTCAAGCTGTTTATGTTGAGGTTTATGAGTGAATGATAAGCTTGACTAAGCATTTGAGGGTGTAAACAATTAGCTTGACTATGTCTTTACTGTACTTCAAAACCTTTAAACTGACATCTAAACATAAAATACTGATCAATTATCTTAATTATTAATAATACATCTTCTCATCCATCTCTGCAACAAAGATAATGAGCAAGATAAAGCAATATGTTATTTGTGAAGTGCTTGATGAAGATCAAAATAATGTAGTCGCAACCATTGATTGCGTTATCAGTGGCACTCACAGTTTACCGTAGTCTCATTTGTTCTGCAATGCATACCTTTGACTCCCAGGACATGCCAGCCATAGAGATGCCCAGTAGACATGTGACAGTGATGATGCCGATGATGCGGATGTCATTGGTTCTGTCCACAATGACAGCTTCGTGTTCCTGAGGGAACAAAAGTTGTAAAAAGTTTAGGTGAGTACAAACAGAATAAACAACGCATTACTGTACAATTGTATTGCAAACTGCTGCTCCACATACTTGCATGAGGTCTACAACAGTCTCAGCAAAGCCCACAGTGTGCATGGCAACAGCCACAGCGTTGGCAAAAGCAAAAATCAGACCGATGGATCCACCTAATTCTGGACCAAGGCTGCGACTGATCAGGAAGTAAGTGCCACCTAAAGACGAGAGGGGGAGGGGTGGCGCTGAGAAATACGTCTTGGAAATCGATCAAACTCAGGAAATACAATATTACAGAAACATTCCTTATATTTTGATTAATGTGTTGCTGGGTGCACAGACCTCCTTTGACTTTCCCGTTGGTAGCGATTGCTGAGGTGGAGAGACCAGTGATCCCAGTAATACAAGAGGACAGTAGGATAATCACCCAGGTCAGACCTGAAATGTGGACAAAAGGAAAAAGAAAAAAAATGACTGAAAGCTATACAGAGGCTGCATAATGAATATTGCATTGATAGAGCATTGAAAAGTGGATGAATAAAATGGAAGTTCTTTTGGACATACCTATACCAGCCTGAGCAGTGATCCAAGGCAGCCTCAGGAACAAGATCACCCCCCAGATATTTAACATGCAGCGGATCTGAAAAAAGTCATTAAGAAGCTTGCTAACTGCATTTATCAAAGGCCTAGCAGGTAATACTTATTCTGCATTGGATTTATTTCTAACATTTCAGGTAATACGTTTTCCCTGAATATAATAATTCACCAACAGAACTGTGTTATTTTTAGAGTAAAAAAGAAGTTCAAGGTCCAGAACATTCAGCGGATTCAGCTAATTAAGGGGGATTAGCATGCACATCATAATCAGTAAGAATTTTGCAAACATCATTGAACTAAAATATCTGAAAAATAAACTCGGGAAGTCTGTGAAGGGTTTAAGTCATCCAGGTCCTAGTAGATTAATGGGTGTACTCATATCTGCCTACACCACTATTAGCATACTAATGACTCTCGGACAGGGGCGTGTCCAGACTTTTTTGACTGAGTTGGCCCAACTCAGGCACTGACTAATGCAGGGGTGGCCGGAAGTGTGATGTCTGCACAAACACGCACAAATAACGATGAATTATTTACCCTTTCTAACCTCATCAATATTATCTGCTTTATAATATAACACAATATAATGGATACATTACTATAGCATTTTTGATGACAAAAAAGACGTTCAAAGACGTTCAAAGTCACAATTTAAAGTACTTAACAAATTGCATGCAAACTCCTGCAGAGTCGTACTTGCAAAAAATACATGAATAGAAAACTTTTTATGCCCGAGACACTGGCAGTTAGTTCATTTCAAGTAACACTGTTTGCATGACTTTCCCATGCACCTGTTTAATGAGAAATATGTTCAAAGCTTTTATTTACAATTTTAAATAAAATATGCTCCATTGATATGTAAAGAAAATACTAGAAGCCTTCTGCAAAAAATACCTTATAGTTGCTTTAACATGAGCTCTGCCTCTGACAGGGTAAATAGCCAATCACAGTTTAGGTTACTTGGGGTGGCACATGGGGTGGCCAATCAGATTTTTAGGGTGGCCCATGCCAATCCTGGCCACCTCTCTGGACACGCGCCTGTTCTCAGAGATATATATATATTTTTAGCTTCACCCACGAGTAAGTTTAAAACTGAAGATGTAACCAAGTCCAGTTGAAAATTTTACTAAATTAGATAAGTAAACACAATGGAGGTATATGTAGTTTTATTCTGATGAAAAGGTGATCCTCTTTTTTTTTAGCTCATGTCTAAATATTAAGAAAGAAAGTATGTTATTGACATGTTTATTTTGTTAAAGTTATGTTTTTACTTGAGCATTTCTCACATTATTATACAATTATGGTGACATATATATGTATTAATGTTTGCTTGATACATTTGTAGACCCTATAAAGTAGGATAAGACTTGATTGCAGCAACTAATTGCTCCAAAAACGGGCGTCATGTGATCCCACTATCTGCTCTGTGTCAAGGCCTGATTCACAGAGCATAAAGTGCTAATGAGCGCTATTTTTTTTGTTGGAATGTGGAAAGAAGCTGTCTGCACCTTCAATCTGTTGCAGAGCTGCACACAAATCCTGACAGAGCTGTTATTTCCACTAAAGATGATGAACTAGGAGGGGAGGGGAACATTTTTGGGTGGTTTATTTTGGTGCCAGACTTCAAAAATGTAAAATGAGTTTCATCGTTTAAAACATAGCTTCTGAGTAAAACTCTCGTGAGTAAAAACAAATTCAGATGAAGTGTCGAGCCGCTGACAGGTGCACTGATTTAACCCCTGTCATTATTATAGTGTTGTCAAAGTAATATTTACTGACTGTATATACAGATCATTCATTTTAAAGTCAGTGGTCAGTTTGACATTTCTTATAAAAACTGGGGCAGTTACCACTTGGTTGTAACTGAGTTTTTGTCCCACTCTAAATGCATATAGCTCTAAGCACCAGTGTTTGTGAAAATAACTTCTTTCATTGAGGCTTTTTATGCATAGATTGGGGCCAATTTTCCCTAAATGTGCACTATGGCTCGCAACCAGCACGGACGCACAGAGACGCTGTTTCCTCTGCAGCGGAGTTAGTGGTTCATTTAACCCCCTTCATGGTTTGTGAATTGTGAACTGTGTCTTTGTAATTCATTTTCACATTTTAAGCGAACGGATAGCCACGCAACCCTGTCATTGATCAGGCCCTGCATTTTTATTGGACAGTAAATTCAGTCCATTGCTCTTTGTAACACCCAGACTTGTCCAGCGTAATTTACCATGACCCCCTGCACCCAGCCAAAGCGAGTGGGCTCAGATGGTGGCTCCTTCTGCTCTTCTTCATCTTCCCTAGAGCTGTTTCCTCCTTCCATCCGTCCAGCTGTTGTCTCCTCATATATGGGAGGTTTGGCGTCATTCTAGGAAAGAAAAGACATCCCCAAAGCATCAATCTTTGTAAACAGCAAAGTCTATAACGCTTTGTTTTAACCCTAAGAACTTCTTATGGTGAGAAAAAAAGAAGTTTCAGGAAATGCAACAATGGAAGAGTAACTCAACCAGAGACAGAGCAGTTTTCATTTTGTTTTCCCTTTTTGGACCAATATGAGTTAAAATTCATGTCAGTTGAGTTCAATTATTTTGAGAGATTTGGTCGACATGAAAGTGAGCGCACATTTCAGCAGAAATATGACTCATTACATTTGAGCCTCATGGCGATTTGTGAATGGTGCCTTCAGCTATTGTTGGACAGTAATTCAAGTTCAGACCATGTAAAGTAATTCAAATTTTTATGTAGAAATGGATGTGTAAAAGGAAAATTACAAAAATAGACACACAAACAGTACTGTGGCAGCAGGACGAGGACTGCAGTTGTGCTACCCAATTCATATGTACACCTTAAATAAATAGAAATTCAACAAAACATATACAAACTTCTAAAAGCCAGCAGGTTTTAAGACAGAACCCAAAGGACTTAGATCAACTCCAAGTCAAAGAGGGATAGAAAATAAAAGCTGGAGGAGTCATTTAGACGGATTAACGTAAAAACACAGTGAGATCTGCATGTGTCTGGTTGTATGAAATAGATAATGATATGAGCTGATATAACAGGAGATTCTTCACCTCAAAGTTTGCATGCAGCTCGTACAGAGATGGTCTGAAGCGCCTCCGCCGGCCCCAAACCTCTGTGTTGGCATAGAAGTCATAGTGTGGTGGTGCGTCCAAAGTCTCATATCCAGGTTGAGCAGATCCATGGGAAGCAATACTGCTTCCATCACCGTAACACTGGTAGCAGCCAGACTCCTCAAACCCTCCAGGAGTTTCCTTTTTATTTGTCACTGACAGAGGAAGACTGGGTCTGTATGCAGCAAGGTGAACACCATCACTGAAAACTGGTGACTCCATTCAGGAAAGCAGAATGGACTGGCTTACCTAAAACACTTTGTGCAGATTCTGTAAATATAGATGATATGTCCTCACTAGTCAGTCTGTCAAGGTGATGGAGCCATTCTGTATTCTGAGACGGATGAAGGAGGCTGGTTTTATAAATGACCTTAACCAAGCAGGAAGAGCCTGAGGCCATGAGAGAAAGCAGGTTTAGTGAACAGTCAAACAAGACTCATTACAGGAGCATGTAAGCATGACATGACTGTTTAACATCACAGGGTCAACCAAAGCATCCGTTTGCTCTGAGCTGCCCGAGGACAAACACAAATCTAGAGTTAACAGCAGAGAGGTGTAATCGCCTAGGTATTGATTTCAAAAGACCTTTGCCTTGACTTTACTATACTATGCATAGTTTGAAGAGAAATGCTACACGTTATGGTGGGGGTCCAGCGACAGTGAAACCATAACTCTCCTGGTATCTTTGAAGTTCTAAACAGTGTTCAGGGACCCATTTTTTCTTTGAGTGAAGTTTGTGTTTTCAGTTCAGAAAATATAGCATAGAATTTTTTCACTTCTCCTACTTTTAAATAATTTGAACATTGTTTTTTGTTCATTGTATTTTCGTGCTTTTCATTTTGTTTTGTATTTTTAATATGTTTGCTTTTATTTGATATGTCTGAAATAAATTTAATCAATCAATCAATCAATCAACTTTAAGATAAAATGATAATCTCTCCCTCAAATTCATCACATTATCCATTGTAGGAACTTCCCCACAGCAGAGCATTACTGCAATAACACCAGACAATCTCCTTTTATTAAAATGAGTTTCTCATTTAAGTGTTCATTACTAGAGTTCTGTGATATTTGAGGGCAATAAAAGAGATATGAATTATTGCAACAAATGTATAACATGGGTATCATTATTTGGTATTATAATAAAAAATGAGACAACAGAAAAGTCAAACATTTGTGTTAAAATGATCTTTTTGAAGCAAAGCAAATGTCATTTTCCCTTAGTTACATTTAAAGACCAAAATCTTACTTCAACCCAAAAGCAACAAACCGAGATTGAAATTGAAAAGAACAAAATAAAAAAAAACCTTGATAAAGCTAAAACACAATTTCAGCTGAAAGGTGAAGACTTCTTTTTCTGAACTATGTCTTTAGTTTTCAGACTAGCTAAATGATTGAACCAGTATTTTATCTCTGCAGCTGTGTAAGCCCTTGATTTTGGGGCTAAAATGTTGAAAGTGATTTATAATTAATAAAAGCTCAACTTTTTAAAACACTGTAGAAAAACCCAGCAAGCTCTGTTGTCATTTTCGGACATGAAGGCACATCATAAATGTTCTATAGTTGTGTTGTTTTTCTTTATCCATAGCATCTCTCTAATGCCTATGTACAATCTTTGGTGTGTCCTTTCAGGTTTGGCTCAGATGTAATGTTAGCTCATAGTACGCTTCAAGCTGTTCAATGGTCTGAGACATTTGTTTACACAGCCATTAACGACAATGTCTAACTGACATTGAAACACTTTCAAGGTAAACTGAATATATTTACACATCAGTCTTAAGGACAGGCCAAAGTCACCGTTTTCTGGTCACCATTTCAATGAGTTGGTGTAAACAGGTTTTTCCCACAGCTGTAATAAAATCAACCATAGACAATCAGACATACAAATATCATTAATAGATTCAAATCAATAAGTTTGGATTCTGAATTTTTATTTCTCTCATTTCTTTTATTTCCCAACCTGTCAGTCCGGTCAGTGGGTGAGTTGACATCAAGCAGAAATGTTCCAGGAAATGGTTGACAGCATTGTTTTGAATTAAACACATGATCAGAGGTTAACTACCTCTGTGCTCGCTCTTCCAGTGGTAATTATAATTGTTGCAGTTGCAACAGTTGGTTATCATAGATTCTACTTTGACCTTCAATGCTGCTAAAAAACCCAATGTGATCGTATCTTGACACAGCCACAAGCTAAACTTACAAGTAGGGAAGGTATGAAAAACAAACTTGTGATCTGATCCAGCATTCACAAAACTCGATGACAACACATTTTAAACAGGCAGACAATGTTCTGTAGCTACAACATTTAACACCCTGGAATTATGTCTTTCTTGGGCTTTTCTATGGCAGGTACCAGTTGTGATCAAAGGCATGCTTAATCCCATTCTTGGCACTACCATACAATGAGAGAAGACCACATTTCCACATCTTTCTAGGGAGACTCAGTGCAGTGCTTCAGGTCAGTGCATGTTTGCATGTGCTTAGAAGACCAACAATACCTTTTATACTTTCGATGCAGATGAACAGTAAAACATATGGATGGGAATTTATAAGAGATAGTAACTTTCACAGTTAACCCAATCATTTGACTAAAAAAAGAAACATAACTATCATTAAGAACAAAGAGGAATTACAGAAAAGTTCAAGTTGCGGTTAGTTTGTCAAATCTTAGAAATGGCAGCAGAAGTCTACTGAACTATAACTGTACAGTATAAATGGTCGATTCCAAATTCTGTGTTCAATTTGGCAAACAAAGAATGCTGTGGAGAGGTTATATGTTGCCACAACTGCAAAATTGTGTACAGTTATTTATTTCTGTGCCAATTAAACCATTTATGTGGAGGTTTGGTTTTAAAGTGTCATGACGAGCAAAAAAAAAAAAGTAGAAAATTCAGAAGCTGTTCTTGAAGGAAACCTGATCGAGAAAGATGTTTTGAGGAGGGACTGAGCAGTTTTAGAATAATGTTGCATCAGATTGAGTTCTTGTTTCATATAAACAAACAAAACAAATTGACTTTTGAGGGAATATGTACAGTTGTACACCAAAGTGACCTTGCAGGTGGACACAGCACAAATCCAACTGGCAATTTGTGTTAAACCATTTGAAGTGATACACCTCACTCATGAGACTGTCACATCAGGAGCTTCTTTGATCAAGGATTCGTTTGAACAAGAGAGGATGCCAGATTAGACTGTACACTGTAGCATGACCATAAGCCCACTCTATTCAGTAAGTCAACACAGAAACTTTTTCCTTTTTGAGGTGTTGTATCATATGAGGATACATACAGTGTAATAGAGAAAAATTATTTTCCTACTCTTGTTGGGAGTTAAGTGAGAACCAAGTTTCCCCTGAGCTTGGGCTTTAATTTCTCTAAACCAAACACCTGTTAAAAAACAGCTTGTTTGGATTTGGAAAAAATAAAAAATAATTGACCATTAAGTACAATGGGCTTGTTTGTGAGTTGACCTTTGGATAGACCATGCTGTGTAGCAATTTGTTATGTTTCCTGTCTTAAACCCATGATAAATCAGAGAAGGTAAAACACAGTAACCTTGGAGAAATAAAGCAAGAGAGAGAATATGTGTTTTCCAAAACATTAAACCATTTATTTAAATTTCCTGACAGAAGTCCAGAAGCCATTCATTAAAGAGTCAAACAGGATAGGGCTTGGGCACATAATGAAACATTTTCATTTATTGATTCAGCTCTCTGTAGGGAAGAAAACAACATTAGAAAGGCACCATTATAATATTTTGAGTAAACAGATGTGGATGTGTTGAGTCCCCATATTAAATAGGTCAGAATAAACCCACCTATGTTCCCTTTGCCTGTTGTTGGTCTGCTGTGCATGCAGACATCGCAACTTCTTCACCCCAGATTAATGATTTTGCTGACTCTTGTATGGGTTCATGCTTGTGTCCTTGCATTGACTAAGCGCTATCCCTTTTAATGGTATCACTGGTGAACACATTGGGCAGAAAAATTTTATGGTCGGCTGCCAAAACAGACTTGCGCAAACTGGGAAGGAAGCAGGTTTAGGATTTTGAGTATTCCCGATACAGCCAGGAATGGATTGCATTGTGTAGTCATGTAATGGATGATTCAATTTCAAAGAGCTGAACTCAGTACTGATCAGGGGACAGCAGATGGTAAAGTGTTGGTGTAATGATTGAGGCCATATGCATTAAACTGCTGTATTGAACCTTCAGTAAAAGGATATTTGCACTCGAACTTTGTTGGGCTGGATGCTGAAGTTCATAATGGTCAATAGAATATTATTGGGATAAAAAACATCTTGCATGGTGTGGAAGGTTGGTTCTGACCATTGTTGGTGGACAAAGTTTGTTTGAACAGAGCCCACATTTGCGCATAGTTAGCCTGTTCAGGAAAAGATTCAGGAGTTTGTATTTGCTCAGTTTCCATTTGTTCTTGAGGCTGGTATGCATATTGGTCCGCTGTCCACGCCAGAAGTCTGGCTGTAAATAGGCATGAAGGATGTTGGATAGCCATGAGGAGAATAATTGTAAACTGTTGGAGCTGCAAAAGAGTGGTGCTGTCCATCATCTTGTTGCGCATCGTCATCCATATGAATAAGGAGTTGTGTATTTGGGTTTTCCATTCAGTTGCTCTGTGCCATCATACTGATCTGAGATTTCTCCTTGGGTTTGATAATTCAACAGGCCCTGGAAATGGAAGAGGTGGGATAATTGTGTCCACTTTGATCTCTGCTGTACTGATAAGAGAAATCCATTTGCTCCACATTGTCTCTTCCATAATAATCACTGTTAGACTCTTTGTTATAATAACCATATGAAGGAATTTCAAACCGGGATTGATCAGTGGTTGGAGATCAAGGGCTAATTGGACTCAGATGTGCTTCAGTCTGTACATTCTGTTCATGACTAATCGATTGCACAAACTGGCTGTAACCGTACTGTTCAGGAGGGAAGGTAAGTGGAGGACTGACTGATTGCACAGTTTGAAGTTGGCCATAGTTGTTGCCATTTGGTTTGATCTGACCAGCATTATAATGTCCACTTGGATCACTTTCATATTGCAAAGGAGACAGAGGGACAATTGTTGTGTCAGGTGACAGCATTTCCCTTGAGTCACTATTTCCAAAGTAGTCATTTGGTAACTGTAATATCCATTGTAAACATTTTCAGATTGTACTAGGGGTTGCTTTTAAGTTTGCAGAGCTGGCTGGCTGATTTGTTCACTTAATGAAGTATCTTGACTAGCATGCCCAGGCGGAAGGGTAACCAGTTTGCCATCAGCTGGTTTTGTGTAAAATGGCTCATCAGGTTGGTGTTCTGGTTCGCTGCTGGACAGAACCAGCAGAATTTAAGAGAACCCATTCTGACTGTTGATTTGTAGGCTTCCTAGTAGTGTCATGAGCAAAAGCATTTCCTGCTGGTATCAGTAGGTTTCCGGGAAAATAAACATAGCTCCTGGATGGTGCTGGAGATGGAGTAGGAGGGGGTTTAGGACCAGATAAGCTCAAATGAAAGGTTGGTTTGACAACTTCAGGAGTTTCCGGTCCTTTGTCATTTTTGGTGGGACTTTTATCTGAAGAACCATCCAAACCATAAGGGCTTTGTAAGTGAGAAGAAGGATCTTGAATTCTATTCTAGATTGTATAGGGAACCATCAAATAGAACTCCTAGATTCCCAACAGTGGTGCTAGATGCCAGGCTGATGTCACTAAGGACAGTCACATCACTAGAAAAAGTTTGAGGTTTTTAGGGCCTAGTGCAATAACTTCAGTCTTGTCTCAGTTAAGTAGCAAAACATTTCTGGTCATCCAGGTCCTAACGTCCTTAAGGCACGTTTCTAGCTGACATAACTGACTGGTGCCATCGGGCTTCATTGATACATAAAGCTGAGTATCATCTGCATAACAGTGAAACTGTATGGAGTGTTTCCTCATAATATTTCCCAGAGGAAGCATATATAATGTGAAGAGAATTGGTCCAAGCACTGAACCTTGTGGCACTCCATGGCTAACTTTGGTGTGCATAGAGGACTTATCATTAACATGTACAAACTGAGATCGGTCTGATAAGTAGGATTCAAACCAACTTAAAGCAGTCCCTGTAATTCCAAGTAAATGTTCTAGTCTGTATAATAGGATCTGATGGTCAATAGTGTCAAAAGCAGCACTAAGATCTAATAAGACAAGCACAGAGAGAAGTCCCCTGTCTGAAGCTAGAAGTAGATCGTTTGTAACTTAAGTAGTGCAGTCTCAGTGCTATGGTGGACTCTAAATCCTGACTGAAACTCCTCAAATAAACTGTGGTCATGGAGAAAGTCACACTGCTGACTAGCTACCACTTTCTCCAGGATCTTTGAGATAAAAAGCAAGGTTGGATATAGGCCTATAGTTAGCTAGAGAAAAACAGTCAAGATTAATATCAGGTCCTGGAACTGTCTCTGCCATGTCAGACGTATCTGCACCAGGTAAGGGCAGGAGGTTACCAATTTTGTCTCTGATGTCTAGAATTTTGTTGTTGAAAAAGCTCAGGAAATCATTACTGCTCAGGGTTAAAGGAATACAAGGCTCAATGGAGCTATGACTCTGTCATCCTGGCTACAGTGCTGAAAAGGTATCTAGGACTGCTTTTGTTTTCCTCGATTAGAGAAGAGTAGTAGGCAGCTCGTGCATGACGTAGAGCCTTCATATATTTTCTATGACTATCCTGCCAGAACAAACGAGATTCTACCGTTTTGGTCGAGCGCCCAAGAATTTTCCTCAGGCTTTCTCAAGGGTTTTCTGGTGGTCTGCCGCAGAGCATGGACATACTAAAGGGGGCGACGATTTCCATAGCCATATCCCTCTTGTCAGTTCCCATTTGCACCCTGCCATGATTCAGGATACACAACAAGTTTGCCTATGAAAAAAACAAATAACAGAATTTGATTTTTACACTGTACAAGTGTAGAACAGGAACTATGGCAATGTGTGCATTCAAACTTTGCAGTTACACTTGTTAGTTTTTGTTCTTCCATTAAACCTGCATTAATTACTTTTTTGGCCACTTCCAGGACCTTACTCTAGCTGTAAGCACACTGCTATATATTTCATTAAATGGCTAATTTAAACAAAACAGATTCATACCAAGATTGTCATTGGAGTTACGTTTTTGTCCACCTCATCAATGTAAGTCCTTTATTGTCTGTCTCCAAAGCATTGTTAAGGTGGCCAAGGAAATTACTAATTCACTGCCCCAAAGAACAGCAGAAAGAGGGAAACCCCACTTCCATAATAAATTTATGCAATACATTAAATGAACAAACACATGTGTACATAGTACTGTTGTATTCAAGACCACAGTAACCCAGACATACCCACTAGAGAGTTCTGAGACCAACACAAGAACAAGACCATAAGTGTCACAGAAAAAACATCATCTTGTGTGCAGCGGGCGTGTCACTCATTTAGACCACAACACTGGGTAGTTGTGACTGGGGGATAAAAAGCCAACTACACAACAAATAAATTAAGTTATTTCTTCTTTTGGAAAGGGCATTTTTTTTCTAATCACAGTAATGACGGTCGAAAAAAATATCAGTGGTGGTTGATTTAAAATAATGAGTCCACCCAGTCGGCTAGAGACAAAACCCGAGTACAAATACTTAAATTGTGAGACGAGACAGATACCTTCAACGTGGTCTTTGAAGAAGTACTACAAAACCACTACATGGACACTATAATAATAACAACTTTAAACAGTGTGCTGATTCTTTTTAGAAGAGATTTGATCATCTTTCCAAATATGGTCAACAACTTAAAGTTACAAGTTCTGATCAGTTCATCATCACTGATAGAGCATAAGTATTTACTCCAAGCACAGATTTAGAGTAACCACTAGTCGGTGCCCGAGGTAAACCATTCTTTGACTGAAGACGCATGAAAGATGGCATGTACAAAACCCCATGCAAGTCTGCAGCAATTTCATAAATATAAGTTTGTTGTAGTAAGTTTGGAAAACGGTGTATTTTAAAAAAGCACATTCTTAAAAGTTTTTCGTCTTTCGTTATCTTTGATGTTGCGCACAGCAAATTTCTTCACAGCTAATGAAATTAATTACACATTGCATATATACAAACCAATCATATTAGTGCGAATGATTTAAAACAGTTAAATTGTGATTGTAAAAATGCAACAAAACAAAAAAAATGGGGGGGGCAAGCAGGTGCCTGGAAGCCTTGGCAAGCGGAGAGGACCTGAAGAGTTGTAACTCTTTGTTCGCAACTTTCTAGATTTTGATAATACAAAGCCCCCAAAAAATTTAAGTATTATCTTGTGCGAATAGTCAAGGGGCTTCAGGGGCTCAGTAGATCAGAGCCAGTTCAATTCAATTTTTATAGCAGCTTTAAACATTTAAAAGTCATTTTGAACATTAATGCAAAAAAAAACAAAACAGGGATTTGTAGTTTTTGTGTTTGCTGATTTACTTAATTGACCTCAGTAAATACATTTGAAATGTCTTGACAGAATCAAAGAAGGTTGGTTACTGAAGTAGTTTACCATACATGTATAACAAAACCCAGCATTAATTGAATCCGACTTACCTCTCGGAAAAGCTGAAGAGTAGTCCAACTCCCAATAACACTCACTATTAGATATTAAAATCAGACAAGTTAAGCCCATGCAACACAAATAACTTACACCAAAAAAGGCAAAATAACATCAGGCACTTTAGTAAATAATAAAGTGAGTTACCTTTTAATCAGGAAATCACAAACCATGACTATTTCAGCTGCTCTCATGGTCTGTCCTGGAAACCTTCCAGCCTTACTGTGGCCCTGTCAGGTATACTCTTTCTGAAGTAGATGCTCTCTTAATTAAACACACCTGTTGCTCTTGACAAACAAATTACAGCTTTTGAAAAGTCAAAGTGTGCTTGATCTACTGTTGTGCTCTTCAAAGAAACAGGAGTTTGTAGTCAGTTTGTCTCTCAGCCCTCAGGTGTTATCAATAACGCACTTTGACGAGTAGTGGATCAGAAGCAGGAAAGACCACAAAGGTTCCAATAAACTCTGCGTCACACGGCTGAGATCACTTGGTGTGATTGCCACGGCAGAGAGGGATTCATTCTCTCCAATGTGTTTGAATGTTTTCTAGTTCTTGGAGTTAAGTGTTTGGTTGGGATTAAGGATGAAGGAAGTGGTGTTGAAGGGTTTATTGAACATGGGTGAGCGGGCACAGAAAAAGGTACTGTAGAGTATTTAAGGGACTCAACGTATAACACTGGGGTTTTCACAGGGTATAAAGTAGGAGTAGGGTGTTATGGTAGTTGATATGAGGAATAGTCAGTTTTTAAAAAATAAAATTAAATCACATACATTATAATTGTTAGAGAAGAAACAAGTGAACATTTTGCAATGATAGATGTTTTTTAAATTCAGTTTTGTTGGATCCGGTTTGTTGTCCTTCGATGAAGAAATGGGGCCCATTTCAGAAAGAAGGTTTAACAAACTCTTAGTCTAACCCTGAGATCTGAGTTGATCTACTCTCAGGTGGGAAACTCTGAGTTTTGGGTTCCAGATCATCGGGTGGTGGACCACCACCTCTGACAGAGGAGCTGGCCCCCCGAGCCTAAGGACTGTAGATGTGAAAAAGGTTCCTGTTGTGCAGTAGTTGTTTTTAAATCTACTATTTCAAAATGAAAAGCTAACTTTCAAGCTAAAGACTATAATATAGAGAAGTTTTATTTTCATTTATTTACCTCTGGTGCTTTTTTTTTTTTTTTTTTTGCTTTTCTATAACCAATTTTTATATTCCACAAGATCTGTCTCATATCTGATTGCATGCTGTGCATAGAAAATGTTTCAAGCGTTTCAAATGCCTGGGATTAAGAAATTCACAGAAATGTAAAACAAAGAAAATGCACATGATTAACATTTTTTGTTTTAAATAATGAATCATTCTTATTTGCACTGAGTTAAAGTTATTCTTTTCTGGCCTTAGTATGCTACTTATTCTGTTCCAAAGGTATAAGCTATATTTTGTTAAAGGTTTATTTGGCGGCTTGAATTGAGAGACAGGACAGTGGATAGAGTCATAAGCCATAAGCCATATTCTAAAGCAAGTTAATACTGCTCTGCCTTTCTTTTTCTTTTTACTTCCTTTGTGATCAGCTTAGTCTTCACCCGTGATGAAGGCTTTAACCTGGATATATTTAAAACATCTCGACAATGTATTTTAATGAACAAACAACCACACATATCAGGACTCCAAACCTGAATTCCTTTTGTGAATCCATCCAAAAGAGAGTGGAAAACATTATTCAGCTGTGCACTATTCAATTCTTTTCACATCACTTTCAGAGTGACAGGTTTGCATGCATCGTTTTAAAAGAAAATAATGCCTCAGCCTTCAGAAGCCGCACAGCAGCCCTCACAGCTTCCAGACTCGCTGTGAGGTGTAATAAAATAACATTTGCATGCTAGTCTAACAGGCTGTGTTTGGTATACTAGTCACAACATGACAAGCCAGTGGAGCATTAAAGAATGAACCCTCGGTCAGGCCTTCTACCCAAATAAGCTCAGCACTACCCGTCCTGGCCTAATGAAGATTGATGTCCTTAAGGTGTTTGCTTGTTTGTTTGTTTATTTATTTATTTGAATGTTTACTCACACGGTTGCAAGGCAGCCGAGTCGGTGGTGTTGCAGGGATGACAACTAGCTTGATTAAAGAGATTGATTTTGAGAAACACAGCATTGCCTCATAGCTGCAGGTGGAGCCTAAAGTTCAGCCTCCGCTGGGTAGCAGCAGACTAATCAAGGAAGAAAGAAAATGCATTTTAATAGATTTTCTTTTTACTTCCTGCCCATCAGTTTCTTTGCCCATCTCCTCACATGGGTCTATCTGTCTTTCAAAAGGCTCTAGCTGGAGTGAAGCATGGGAGGCTCATCCTGCGAGGAGGAGAACGGAATAAATGTTCTGATAGAAATCAAACTGACTCAGTCATTTTGACATACTCAGTAAACATGACTGTATGAGAAAGCTGCATAAGTATTTCATTTTGTCTAATTCAGTCAACATGACTACAAAGTAAAATCTAAGACCTGCTTAGTCTATTCATTGGACTCTTCTCAAAACGTTACAATTATATTGTTCATACTTGTTTTCCAAAAGTTCAAAACTTAATGCATTGAATATATTGTTTATTTTCTCTCTGCACATTTGTGGTTGACATTGCTATTTTGTAAATTCTTTAATAATTTGTGCTTTATACACATCTTATTTTTAATCAGCATGCTCTTGGTACATAGCTGCAATTCTACAACACTCTCTCGTACTTATCGCTCTATTTACATTCCTTATATTATTTTATTCATATTTATATTTATATTATTATTCTACTGATATATTGTGTGTACAAATGACATGAGCTTTAGAAATGAAGAACTTGCCCATCGGCAAATAATGTGGCATGAATTAGTAGTCAAGTGGTTCTCAAACTTTATCTGCCATGTCAAGCTCAAGCTGCAACCTCCGATCTTGAATAATGAAGCCAAGGAGGAAGTGCAAAATCCTGCAGTTCATTGAGTGTCTACTTGAGGCTGGCTGCAGGAACACCGGAAGTCACATACACACAACAGGCCAAAAAAACATGTTGTTACAGCAGAAATGAACATGTTTACAGCCTGGTACAAAAACAAAATAGGTCTGATTAGTTATTGTTCTCATGGGCACACACTGTACGGGGGGTGAATACGTGTTATCCATAGTAAGACGAGTAGCTGACATGATTGACAGGTGGGCGCGATGTAACGGTTCTTCAAGAGGCTTAAACCCCGCCTCAGCTCCATGCAGCGCTCAGCCGGTCGTTAGGTTGACTGAAAGTTAGACTGAGACAGCATTTTCAACATGGCGGCTGCAGCCGATGAGCCTCCAGAGCCCCTTGCAGGAACAGATGGCTGACGTCACTCAGGCTGTAATATACAGTCTATGGCCGAGTTAGCATACCTACCAAACAGCTGATGCAGAGGGGGGGGCAGATAAAGTCACCATAAGACAAACTCTAATCTATTTTTAAGGTCAGACCTAAGAGAAAATGATGGAGTGTCATTATGAAAATACACAAGTTTCATAATCAACAATCGTTTTTTATAAACATTGGTATCAGTATAATCCCTGATCTTCCCAATTGGTTTATCCCTATAATCAAAACCAACTGTTCATTTGAAGCAAGATAAATTGATATAAAGAAGCTAAGTTACACCTTAAAGCATAGCAGGTGAAACTAAAGCTCTTAATGTTCCTTTTTATCAACTCACTGCTGCTCAACAGTCATTAGTTTGGCCTTTACTCCCCTTTATGTAGTCCCCTCCCCTCCCCTCCTGCTCCTGATTGATTCCTCTGTGCTTTGTGTCACCCTGCTGTGGATGAATGATGTTGTTTTCCTGTGACAAACAGTCAATACCTCATTTTGTTTCATTTTCAGTGGCCTCATAGTGTGTGTGGATGTTAGCCTTTGTGTGCTTTCTGTTTAGATTCCTTATATATATTTCTGCTAAAACACAAATTACTCCGAAGCTAACTACTCCAACGGCATCAACCTCATCCTCATTAAAACATTCATATATTTACGCTGACTTCGGTTAGTCCCAGTGCTTGTGCCTTTATGTACGTTAGAATTATTGTAAGCAGAAGCACAGCATAGTGAGCAGCTCTCTCTCTCTGTGTGTGTGTGTGTGTGTGTGTGTGTGTGTGTGTGTGTGTGTGTGTGTGTGTGTGTGTGTGTGTGTGTGTGTGTGTGTGTGTGTGTGTGTGTGTGTGTGTGTGTGTGTGTGTGTGTGTGTGTTACTCTGGAATAATGATGACAAAGAGCCACCTGTCAGAGCTCGGGCGCTCGCAGAATGTCATTTCACACTAAATGAGTAATCAGGTCAGTGGGTGTGAGTGGAGGAGTGGAAGGCGGCAAAATTAAGAGCTCTCAAACTTGTTTTTTTTTCAATGTCGAGTATCCCCTCGTAGAGGCAGGAAAAGATGGAAAACTTCATGTGGAATTAATATGGTGTGAGACACCTGTGTGCCAGAGAGCGAGATGACAGTAAGATTTAATGCAGCAAAAAATGATGCGTGTTGAAGAATAATGAGGGCGACGTGCACAGTTCTTTTCTTTGTTCCCCCAATGAAAAACAGGTGTGTTATCTTGCTACTGATAAAGCACTCTTTGAGGCCAATTTAGACGTGAATTAATATTATAACTGGAAAATCACTCCGTTTGGAGTGGTCTCTGAAGTGGTTACAGGCACACTTGTGTGGGAGAGGTTAAGGTGGAAAGGTAAGAAAAACAGAGGAAAACGCCGAGGCGTATCAGCCTGATCACTTCAGAGACCACTCCAATGCCAGTTTTAAGCCGCTTACCGTTACATCGCGCCCACCTGTCAATCCATGTCAGCTACGCGTCTTACTATGGATAACAAGTATTCACCCCCCGTATCAGCCTGATCGCTTCAGAGACCACTCCAATACCAAACAGAGGTAAGCTGCTCCACTGTTGTTTTTTTCACTCATTTGTAATGTTTTTAAAGTTACATATAGCTCCTTTAACAGTTCTGTCTGCTTATACTGTAATTCTGAAATGTTTTTATAGTTTTTTTGGAACGCTTCTTCTTCCCGTCCCCCCCCCTCTCACACGCACATCATTTCAGCTTCATCAATGGCCGATCTTTATGATGCTCGTATCTTCACACTGCATGTAAATTGACCTGAAATGAGCGTGATCTAGAAACACAGTTAAGCAGTGAGTACAGTATGTTATTCTTCTTTTCTCTAGTCCCTCAATTAA